ATAAAAATTCATATGTTCAAGAAAAGACCAAGCCATGCTGATGCTATCTTTCTTGCAGGACTTACATCAAAGAAAACTGTGTTCCTATTGGCATAACGATCGTGCCTATCAATGCCATCAAATCTTTGAGGGAACTGGACATAGCAGACCTTCTTTCCAGTTTGGGGGTCCATTAAGAAGCACATGGCCTCTCGAGCAGCCTTGCTGTTATTGACATAATGATCACAATCCAAGTTCAGCATGAAAGGAGCATTTGTGAGCACAGCAGAGACCCGAATCTGTAAATTACAGCATTGGTTTTAAAAAGTCAAGCACCTGTGGCTCATAAAGGTGAATGGACGTCATAAGAACAGCAAAAACTGCAAAAAAAAGCTCTACCAAAGCATTCATAGCCCCAGCTTTCTTGTGGTGTTGGAATCCTGGCCTTTTCTCTCGGGACACATAAACAAGACGAGGAAGCTCGTTTCCTTCTGTATCATGACCTCCACTGTGACCAAGAAACACTTGAATCATTCCAGGATGATCCTTGGTATTGTTTCCTGGCCATGGTGTCCCATCCTGCATAATCCATCCTCCTTGTGGAACCTTCTGAGCTTTTGCAACCAGTGCATTGATCCTAACCTTAAACTCTTCATATTCTCTCTGTCAAACACACAAAAAACAGTGAATAAGCTTTAAACTAACTTATAAACCCATGTTTAAGTACTAGTCTGATAGATATGATATAAACCTTCATAGCTCGACGCTCCTTAACAAAGGTGGGCTGCACCTTGTCCTTTAGGTAATCAATTTTCTCACAGAAGTACATCTCCGGTGCTCGAGGTTCTATAGAAAATTTCTTGCAGAATGGTACCCACTTCCTTGCAAACTCTGCAGTTTCTGACAGGGCCTCAAATGTACACATTGAAGCTCCGTCATCGGAAATGTAACACGATATCTTCTCAACTGGGTAATCCATGGCCAAGATTGAGAGAACAGTGTTTGCTGTAACCAATGGAGGTTCCTTCATGGGATCCACTGTACTAACAAAGACATCTACAGGAGCAAGCATGTTTGGTTCACCTTCACGCTCATACCTAATAAACAACTTTTTTTACTCAGCAATGCAAATTGGAGCCAATGGATTTCAAGTTAACGCAGGCGATATTATAGCAAGGATGAAGGTGCCTTATTTTACCTAATTGAAAGACGATCAAGGTAGGTCTCTCGATCAATGGGAAACCATTTGGGAAACTGATCAAGTATCCATGAAAAAGCAAACCAGATTTCACATATAATAGAAGTTAGCCACAGCCCCAGTGCATCATGTACAGGATTCATCAGTCTATATCGGAGGAAGAAGGCAAGGATAACAAGCCGTGCCACGATCACCATCCTATATGGATTCACTTTGCTGGATGCTATCGGTACCTTCCTTGACAGTGGTTGCCTTGCTTCATCTAACCTGCACATTCAACTTTTTTCCATCATTACTGTTAGTCAAAGTTAATTCACACAAACTGCGTAGTTTCCTAATTGTAACTCTATAAACATACATGGCTGCATCCGGATCTTCATCAGGTTCAGGCCCCAAATTTCCTTGTTGCAATTTCCAGTCATCCATTCTATCCTCTTTGGTTTCATCCCATTTTCCATTTCCTGCTTTGATCACAGCACGCCACATATTGTAAATAAAATTTTCACCAAGTTGAAGTAGACTAAGAAAAACATTTCAGAGTTGTACTTAAACAATTTCCAGAATTGAAAGTCTCTTAGCTAGCAGCCTGAAACTAACGCCAGCACAATCCGTTTTGCAAGAAAATTATAAAAGAAGGCTAGTAAATTCTTTCAATCAATGTCTAAAAGCTAAGGCTGTAAACTACATCTTACTAGGATCAGATGCCGGATATGGGTACACACGATTCTGCAATGAAGAGTGCTCCCCATAATGAGATGTTACTGGCAACTCTCCACTAACCTGCGTGCATGCAAAGTTAATATAAGCTTTATTTTGGTGAACACATGCGAAGTTATTATAAAGTCTAAGAATATAAAAAGTTTTGCAGAGTAAAATAAAGTAATGATTTGCAAATCTTACAGGCCGAGAACGACCGCCAGCTATGACAGCTGGGAATTGAGAATTCTCATCATCTTCAGGACCTCTTCCGTAGCTCATCTTCCCATGCAGCATGGCCTCAGCAGAGTGATTATGCTTGTTCATTTGGTCATCAATGTTGAATTCATGTTCGATATCATCCACGTCTTCCTCATCATCATCTCCCTCAACCCGTGGGCTCCCTTAATAAGCAAAATCAGAACACAATGAATCAACAGTTCCCTCATTTTTCTCCATTTCAATCCTACCTACTAAACCAAATACTACTATGAGATAACTACAAGTAGTAGCAACTAAATCCATTGAAATTAATGCATGACAAAGGCTTCGTTTGGATAAACATGTTTTAGTGCTTATTAATAAGACCATCTCCATTGTATTCAAATACATACCAAGTGTTTTTTTAAACACTTATAAGTCATTTACGTAAAGAGGTCGTTTCCTTGGAAGTTTTAAGTTATTTCTCATAAAGTGTGAAAAAATTATTAAAACAAGCTGAAGCCAATTTATGGATATGCCTATTTTCATAAATTTTCTCAAATACTTTTACAAAGCCTTGATTTTGATGATCAGAAGTATAATTAACAAGTTTTTTTCAAACACATGAAGGCTTTGAAACATGGTTAAAAGTTATCTACCTTTGAGACGCTTGTATCTGGTCTTGCACTGTGGACAAACTTGTCTCCCTTCTCTTCTTTCGTATTCATAGCATGGTCGGCATGCCGGAAAACCACACTCATTGCATGCCACAAACAAGTCTCCATCCACCGTGAGTCCCACATCATCGCCACATATCTCACACACTTGCCCATCCAAGTTCTTCAAAGGCTTGTGCTGCACCAAAAACACACAATAATATAAATTAATCAGTAAACTTTTTTGTGAAAATGAGCAGAACTAAACACACCCTTTGAATTTTCTCTAGTAGTCTTCATGCATGGTTAATAACTGATATTACCTCTTCATGGCCATGAATGACAACGAGCTCGTTCCGATTGTGAGAACCAGCGACCAGTCCAGCGCTGGCTTCCATGTTGGTGGTGGTGACTGGTGAATGGGACAAGAATGTGACACAACACAACAATAGTGGGGGGTGAAGTTGAGAGCAAAGATTATGTTTTATGAAGGAAAACTGAGGCTTGCAGGTTTTGGTGTGTCCACCTAATGTGTGCATGTTGTTGGTTGCAGGGTCTCCATTGCCTTGAAGTTAAGCTTCTTCCTTTTGTTTTTTTCAACCACCGTCTCCTTCATGCAATCATCAACAATGACTACACGTTGGTGAGGTGTATGCCTTCTCTTTTGTTGCTTCTATTTTTTTTTTTTTTTTTCTTTCTTTCCTCCTTGGTTTTCAAGAACCTAGATATCATTGCATGGAATGTTTTGTCCTTAATTACTTTTTATTTCATTGTAAGACGAGAAATGGTATTTGTACGAATGAAGAGACATATAACTGAGAGAAAAAAAATGAAACTACAAAAAGTACCATAAAATTAAAAGTGTTCGTGAATAATATCCTTTTTTTTATGGACTCTTGTATTTGTGTTTATTTTTATCTGTCTTTTCCAGGAGTTATCTTATTATGAATTTATAAATTTAATTTTAGTGTATAAATTAAAAGAGTGTCAAAGGTGGCAAACATAAATTTATTCTTTTTCAATCATCCAAAAGTTTATTAAGTTTCAAAAGAGTTACAGATCGATTTTAATTAGAACCATTCATACAATAAACTCATGGAAATTATAAAATTATATATAAAGTTTACATACTAAAAATAATAAATACAATTTGAGTCCCTAAAATCATATCTCAAATTAATCATAGAAATTAAAAAATAAAATAATTTTAAAAAAATATTCAATTAATTTAATTCAAAATTTTAAAAAATATAAATATAATTAAAATAACAATAATCTCATTTTAAAATATTACGTTAATGATAAATCTTAAATAGTTTATATAAATTAGAGCATTAAATTTAAAGTTAATTTTTTATAAAAAAAAATCTATAATAATAAAGATCCTAACACCATTTAATAATATATTTTGTTAAAAAAAATTAGACATGTTATTGAGATTTTCTTTAAAAAAATTATATCAAAGATGCATTAAATCGCACTCAACATAACAGCTAGAGAAGATTTCACGTCCCAGAAGATATCATTGACATTTTTAGTCACTCTACTTTAGACATTGTAGGATTTTTGTTTTTTCAAGTCAATTTAGTCCCCTGCAGATTTCTTCTATTTAGAGCTTTTAAATTCTTAATTTTGTACTCATTTTTTTTTTATCAATTGCTATAAAATTAAATTAACTTTTGCCTAAAACCTATCAACCAAAATATCAAATTGCACTCCAAAAAAAAATCTCCTTTTTCCTCTTTAAACCGTCATTTCACATTTCATATAATCTTTCAACTTTTTTTACTTAAATATTTAGATGAAATGACAATTTAAAATTATTAAATAGAAGAACATCGGCAAATACTAATTTTGTTTAATTTTAAAAATAAAGAAATTCAAATATCTTAAGTGTTTCTCTAAAACAATGTATTAAATTAAAAACATTTAAAGTATTATAAAATAAAAAAGGTACACGTTAACGCGTTGCTTCCAGGACTAGTGGACTACGATCTGCTTACATATCCGAGCGAAAAACATGTGTAACATTTTAGTTTTCTTCGAACGTAAGCACTTCGAAACTAAGCTACCTTCAAATCGTTAGGTCCGTAAGTTGCAGCCTCTACATCTTTAGTTAAAATAAACAGCGTTTGAGCTCAAGCTACACATAAGCAGCATCCAAAAAGTGGCACTACGCGTTCCCCTAACCATATTAGGCAGGAATAAACCCCAAAATTGACGAGTTTCCTTCCAAATCGTTTGTTAGGACCATGTGCTTCCTGTCTTGATCAAGGTATGGACCCCTTCGACCTGTCACCAACTTGACATGCATTGGATTGGAACAGAAGTATGCAAATATTACTGTCAAATTCATAAATTAAATGAGCATATATTATCCACATGCGATTGTACTTTTATGATTAGTCTTGTGATGAGTGGTTAGTGGTATACTCGTACTCTTCAGCAACTTGTTCGAAAAGCCATGGCTGCCTCTATAATTCAAATCCTCGTGAATTTATATGCTATTATTGCACATGAATTATACATCAGACCAATACAAGTTACTCACATTCATTCTACAATTAGAAACTAGCTTGGAAGTTTTCGTTTACGTTTGGACACTGGCTGAGACTTCATCTTTAGCTGATTTGTCTCTTTTCTTTGGTGGTTCTCGAGTTTTCTGCACAGCAGCTTTGTTTGGAACCAAAATTATGAAGATGTTCCTGTCACGGAAGTTTTTTGCCTCCTCTAATCCAATCTGCACGTAAGTGTGGTTTGGATGTAAACTCAAAGAGGTAATAAGATATCCCTCCAATAACCATAAAATCAGATATTGGCATAAGAAGACTATGAAATGAATTCATTAAAAGTAAGTCCACTACACAAATGAAATCAAATGGAAAGAGCAAATAAAGTAGTGCCTGAGAATGAATTAATAAATTGTGCTAAGCAAGGGAGTAAAACACAAAACAATATCAACATCCCATCCGAGGACCTACTTTTCTTGAAGTCGATATCGTTTTGTACGGAAAAAATAATCAGGTATGTAATGCCTAAGAAATAGGATAATCATAACACACAGCAGAGTGGCATGACGTACCTCCCCAACATCATTCTGAAAACGTGTAATAAGCCCAATAGCAATATTCCTGAATTCATTTTCACGACCCTTAAGGTTTACTATGACCTTAACCTGCAGGAATGGATCCCAATAATCTCAATACATTAGTATATGTGTAGGAGCACCGTGCTTATTATGACATAATATAAATCATGCAACCTTGTCACCATCTTTCAAAAATTTCTGTGCAGCTCTCAAACGCACTGAATAATCATGATCATCTATGTTGTATCTGTTAAAATAACGTACAAACAGTAACAAAAAGATTACAAGATGGTCATAGTAAAAATAACTGAGCATAACTAAAACCCAAACGAAACCACAGCTCATGAACAGCAATGGCTGTAACTGCTCTAATTAAGTTTGTTAGCGATGTATATTATTGCTTAAGTTTTATGCATTTAGTCGATACTGCAACAGCAGTTTCATATATCTTTAGAATGTCATGCATCACATAAAACGTCCTCTTTTCTTTGAGCAAATATGTCTAAACAAACTCCTTTTAGCGCATTCTGGCCTAGCTGATCCCATTTTCACACCAAGAAACAATATACTAATTATAAAATGGCCGACATATGCAATTTCTTTTCCTATTACTTTATCTAATATGCCAAAATAGTAGACAGAATGATTAAGAGCAGAATCAATTGTGTCTACAAGAAAAAAAGTGGGTAGGACAAAACGTGAATCAGAGATACCCAAATTAAATCAAGAAATGGGAAGGGTACCATATATAAGTAATTGAGTCATTGTGTTATGGACATACAAAGGTTAAGAGATAGGATCATAGATCTAAAAATTTTTTGTAAAGGTTAAATATATTTTAGTTCCTATAAAATGAATGAATTTTGGTCTTGATTCCTATGAGTGAATTTTGGACATAGTCCCTATATTATCTTTCCTTTGGTTTCATCCCTCTTAATTTTGAAAGCATTGGTTTCAGCCACTAACATTTTGGGATAAAATAATTCATTTTAGGGATAAAATAATTATTGGGAGTCAAATGTTAACATGGCACGACATACACACTATTGGATGCCCCCTGGGTTGACCATGCCACCTCCCATTAAATATGTAAATAGTTAAATAATGTTCAATAGGGATCAAAAGTAATGATTTTAGATTCTAAACTACTGAATGTTGGGTAATCCAAGTATGAGTTAAGTTCTATAGTGAGTAAGAATGAAAAAGTTGAACAACATATAAAGATGAGAAAGTTGAACAACATATAAGGAAATATGACCCATAACCTAATACCTTAAGGTTTTTGGTTGAAAATGGTGTCAATCTCTTATGTGGGTTAGACTCATGTCTCATATGTTATGTTTTTCCCCTGTGAATCCCCCTCGAAAGATCCTACAAGTGGTATTAGAGTCGAAGGTTGATCGGTTCGACAGTGGGTTAGAGTGATTTTAATATCGAAAGTTTTCCTGACAGAGTGGGTCAGGTAAGCGTGTCCCGTTAGAGTAAACAGCGATACATGAAAGGACTACTAGTTTGTTTGAGAGAATGTACCAATGAGGAGGAATTCACACTTGAGAGGGAGATTGTTAGGAAATACAAATGTGATTATAAATCTTACATTGGGTAAAAATGAGAAAATTGAGCAACATATAAGAAAGTATAACCCATAATCCAATGTCTTAAGGTTTTGGGTTGAGAGTAGTGTCAATCCCTTATGTGGGTTGGGCTCATGTCTCATTGGTTGTGTGTTTCCCCTATGCATCCCCTCGAAAGACCTTCCAAGTGGTATCAAAGCTAAAGGTTGATTAGTTCGACAGTAGGTTAGAGTGGTCTCGATATCAAAAGTTTTCCTGACAAAGTGGGTCAAGTAAGCATGTCCCGTTAGAACAAACGGCGGTGGGTTATGAGTCATGAGCCCCACACATATAAGGATTGACACTACTCTAAACCTAAAACATTAAGGCATTGGGTTATGGGTCATACTTCCTTATATATTGCTCAATTTTCTCATTCTTACCCAATGTGAGACTTAGAATCACACTTGTATTTCCTAACAATCTTCCCCTCAAGTGTGAATTCCTCCACATTAAACACACTAGTAGTTCTTCTATGTACCGCCGTTTATTCTAATGGAACATACTTACTTGACCCACTCTGTCAGAAAAACTTTCAATACATAGACCACTCTACCCAATGCCGAACCGATCAACCTTCGACTCTGATATCACTTGTAGGGTCTTTCGAGGAGATTCACAAGACAGACACACAACCAATGGGACAAAAGTCCAACCTATATAAGAGATTGACATCATTCTCAACCCAAAACCTTAAGACATTAGGTTATGGGTCATATTTCCTTATATGTTGCTCAACTTTCTCATTCTTAACCAATATGGGACTTAGAATCACAATTGTATTTCTTAACACTGAACTCCAAAGGACAGTTTTTATAGATACCAAAATTAAATTTTGCTCATTTTACAAAGGCATAAAACATATTTAACCCAATTTGTAAAGGAAAAGGGAATGCATATGCACCCGAAGAAGGGTTAGAAGGGTGCCACAAGATAAATTTTGGGAAGATTTAGAAGCTTTAGTCTAGGTAACATTACCATTTGGAGAAAAAACATTCTAGGAGAGGATCTAAATAAGCATGTAGGGAGCGGAGCACATGTAGAAGTCTAGAAGATACATGGATTTAAATTAGGGTTATGGTCTAGTAGAAACAAAATACAGATGGCTATGTTCTCAAGTTGACTTTTTTTCATAAGCAAATCAGAGAGAAAACTTTGCATGGACTGAAAAGGCAAACCTAGTAAGAGCTTGACTACCCAGCACTGAATCTTGATCATGGACATAAGAGATGAGAAGAGTGTAAGAATGAAAAGCCAAGATAGGATCAAGTGGTGGCAACTGAATTGAAAGTAGAAGAAAAACTTTCAAGTGTTATAGAAGAAGGGAATTAGGCACCACATGGAAGTGTAAATGATATGTAGGACAAGATGACTGAGGGCATAAATTAAAAGAGACTCTTGAAGAATAAATAAGATGTGGATCTAACTGTAAAGAATCTTGATTGTGTGATGATATTGTGAAAAATAAAATTAAGGTAAAAATGGTATATGCAAACCATGGTGTAAGAATTCTAAAAATCAGGAAAGTGTTAGATGGGAAAGAAACTGAAAAGGTAGTGAGCAAGGTCAGAGCTAGAGCTAGAGCTCATGAGGGGTTATACTGATCCATAGACATCAAAGATGGTGAGAGGTATTTGCAAGATTGTCAAAAGAAGGGAAACAAAGTCAATACAAGAGACTTTAATTATGCAAAATGCTTTAAGGATGAACAATGTAAAGTTTTGTCAAAAAAAGGTGTTAAGGAAAGAAGAAAAATTACTTTCTCAAGCTATATATATAGAGAAATACATTTTTGCTTCTAGAAATTGAAAGTCTAAGTGGTAAAGAAGCACTGAAAAATATGGCAGCAAACTGCAATGCAGCTGAATCCGATAGTATACCCATTGAGTTATGTAGGTGAGAAAGGTATTAGTTTGCTCACTAATTTGTTCAAGAAGTACTAAGAAATTTCAGAAAAGTGGAGTACTCTAATCCGTATTTATAAGAACAAGAAAGATATTAAAAAATTGCCCAAATTATGAGGGGATAAAGCTCATGAATCATACTATGAAGTTATGGAAAAAAGTGATTATGCTGAGAATGGAGACTAATACAAGAGACTCGCATGACAAAAAATCATTTTTGTTTTATGCCAAAGTGGTCAACCTTGAAAGCTCTATAATTGATACAACATTTGATGGAGAGAGATTAAAGAAATCAAAAGATCGATACGGCCTTCATTGGTTTGGCAAGAGTGCTAAGAGCCTAAAAGTGGTGTTGTGGAAGGTCATAGAGAAGAAAGGAATTTGTATTATTACATATATTCAACCATGCAAGGATTACAACTACTGCAAGCACACATAACAAGGTCACATCAAATTTTACTATATTCTAGAATGCAACCAAAGGTCAACTTTTACCCTTATCTCTTTACCTTACTCTTGGATGTGTTTACTGAGCATACTGAAAGAGTTGATGCCATGATGCATGCTTTATACCAATGATATAGTGTTAGTTGAAGAATCAAGAGAGGAAATAAATTAAGTTAAAGATATAAAGACGAGATTTGAAATCTCATGGTTTTGCTTCGTAGAAAATAAAGTATATGGAATGTAACTTTAGCAAGAGACACAATAACCCTAGCATAAAACTAAAACTAGGAGACAGTAATACACCACAAGTCACGTGGTTTAAGTATTTAATTTCCATCATTTCAAATAACGGAGAAATGGAGGGAACTATAAATAACAGGATTCAAGTGGGGTGGAGAAAATGGAGAAGTGATTTGGGATATCATTTGTAACAAAAAGGTACCAAGCAAGCTTAAAGGAAGATTTATCACACAATTCAGCGTTGTAAGAAACTGAATGCTGGATGGTAAAAGCTACGAGAATAAACACTATGCAGCAAAAATGAGTGGACACACTAAACATGATAACATTAGGAATCTACAAGAGAAAAAGTAAGAATAGTTTCTATTGTAGAATAAATGGTAGAAACACCATAGGGGGTTTGGGCATGTGTAGAAAAGACATGTAAAAGCCCCAATAAGGAGAATCGATTGGATGACAGGTAGCCTGATCAACAGTGACAGAAAAACTATATGTTTGAAACCATATCACATCACTTGGTCCATGTAGTCAAATTCAACTAGTGGAAAAGACTAGGTTGTTGTTGTTCCTCTAGTTTACTGAAAGTAATGGAAATAATTAACTTGTGCAAATGTGTATAATTACTTTTCAGGAGAACACATAATTAGCCAAAGCCAAACTAGATTGCCTGAAATAACAAAATATACTTCTTCAGATTTCTAATCCTTTTTAAACATATTAAAAAAAGTAATATCTGATCCATAATTAAGAAATCCAAAGAGCAAGAGTCCAGAAATAGCTTAGGACATTACCCCATTTTGAGCTCCTTCAAATCCATCCGATTAGCTACATTTAAGAGACTATTTGGTCAGTAATTTGTTGTTTATTCTGAGTTTTGTAAATAATTTAGGAGAAAATATCAATTCTTACCAGCACTTTTCTTCTGCTGTCCTCTTTTCTTCTTTTGTTGTTCATATCTATATTTGCTGTTCAGAAGAAAGTATAAGGATCAATTACATGGTCCAACAATTCTTAAACCATAAGTATACAAGGGCTCAATCATGATAGACAGATGTAGATCTAGGCACTACCTTTAATGCAGATTCATTTGATTTAGTCCAGCAAACATCAAATGCTAAAGTCTTATTAGAAACAACAACACAAGTATTCCCCGTTACTTGTTGCCCTATCATGTCTTCACAACACCCCATCCCAAAAATGTATGGAAGCACGGCATCCATTGATAGACAACTGAATGCAAACGATACTCCCACCTTTGCCACCACTATTCCCTAACTAATAAAAATTAAACACAACGAAGTTGCAGGAGGCCAGAATCAAGTGAAACTGGAAACCAAATTTCATTAGTCATCTATCAACCCAATTCAAACACATGTTCAATTGTTGTTAAACAAGTATAGACGCAGGTTATTAACTGCTAAGTTGATTGACAAATGCATAAATATTTTGATACAGCCATCAACCATCAGCATTGTTTATACTAGAAATGCAGTTTTTTCTCTTATGATATACAAAGATCATACCTGTAATTCATTACTCTAACAACAGGAGGATCTGCATCTGGGGATAATATTACCTGACCAAAAAACAAGTAAATAAGTTTATACATTGATGCCACAAACTTCCCACTGAATCGACTGTGAGCTGACACGAAGCAATTAGGTTTTCAACAGACCATTTAAAACAGATTTCATTCACGTTTATTTGTGATATCTGTCTTGAGAGAAGTGGTAAGAATGAATTGAGATTCTCCTATGAGTTAAAACCAACTTATCACCTGTTGCAGATGTTAGATGGGAGAACTTCTATAAAAGTTAAAGTACCTAAGTTTATCTTAATTTACGCAAGAAACTTGATTCATTTTACCTTCTTATTTTCCTAAAAGTATTTATAGAAAAGTTTATTAAAACATGGACTAAGTGAAACTATAGGAAGAACTTCCTCTTTCTATTTGTTATCATTTTCATCATGTACAGATACTAAATATAGTGAAAATAAGCAACAGCTAACCAAAGAAGTCAAACCACACCTCCTTCGTAGATAAGTTATACTAATTAAGCTGAAATTCTACGGCTAAACATAGACAAACAAAGATTCTACTTCCGAACTCGGACAAACACACGAGGGGAAAAGGAGAAAACCATGACGTTGTAGCTAACAAGTAGTGGAAACCTTAACAAAGAGGCAGCAATCTCAGGGACAAGACATCATACCAAATCAAGTTCGACATCTTCAGCCATTCGAATGGCGTCATCAATTGACACTACTCCAACCTACAAAAACAAACAATTTCAGGAACCTCCGCTAGCTTCAGACCGAATTAGAGAGATCCATAACTCAAAGAACACAATCCTCGCATCAATTAACACTTCTAAACGTAGTAGCTGAGTTTAGACGTGCTTCTTAAGGGAACAGAACTAAAAGCGTTGAAATACGCAAGAAAGGAAAAAAGAACAAACCATATTCTGGTTCTGATCAATAAGCCTCACGGTACCTGACCTATTTCAAATCCAAAGCATTCTTAATCACGAAATTCCAGTGGAAGCATAAGAGAGAAAGGAATTGACGAGGAAGGAGTAGAGTACTTGAGAGTGGAGAGGTCGAGTGCTTGGTCGTCGTCAGGTTCAGGCTGGCGTCTCCGTGAGTCGGCGGAGTCGAAGGTGCGGGAGCCAGCGCCACCGCCTCCGTAGCGAGCGGTTACGTAGGAGAGAGAAGTGGAGAGAGAATGGTCGTATTTGAAGGAATTGGGATTAGAGAGGGGAAGGCCGAAGAGTTTGGAATGAGAAGAAGCGAAAAGAGGTGAAGGTGTGGCATGGTAGTGAAAGAGTTTGCAGGGGACGGTGGTGATGCCAGCCATGGCGCGCGGGCCCTTCCTTCTTCACGCTTCAACTATGGCGCATATCTCTTATCCTAATCTCTCACTCACCTGTTACTTCTTCCACTCACTCCTTTCTAACTCAGATGACGAAACCACTATATAAATATAAGAATAAAGCTCTATTTTCTAACAAAGAACCTAAATTATCGTAAGATATATATAACATTTTTCATCAATATAGAATTAATTTTTTAAAATGTAGAATTAACATGAGAATCGTGATATAAATTGCTGGATATATATATACACAATAAGTGTTAGATCTTTTAACTCGAAGAAGAAGAAGAAAAAAAATTTTATTAGTAACGAGGGTTTACGGAAAATTGACGTTGTAGATGAAAACACCTCAAATAACAAATAATGTAGAGTAAATTCTCAAATTCAGTTCTTAAACATAGAAAAATGTTACCAGTTTAACTCTTTAATTTAATACGTTTCTTAATTTTTTAATTATCCGTTGTGCTTTAAATTGTAAAAAAAAGATTATTTTAACAATTTATTATATGTAGAGTGGATTTTTTATTATAATTGATTATGATTTAGATTTTATTGTTCTAAGTAAATTTACAGTAATTATTTAAGTTTTTCTTAAAAAAACGTTTTTTTTTTTCAAATAAGTTATACTTTTAAAATTTGAACATTATATGTTTGAAAAGAAAACTATTAAAACTAATCATAAACTAGTTACATAAAATCAGTTTTTTTCTAGTCTTAATATAAATTTTAAATATTTTCAAATTAAATACTTTTCTAATAAAAGCATGTAAACTCAATAATTTTAAGATATTAAATCATCTTCCAAGTATTATCCATTGATTTTAACGAAACATCGTAATATTAAACGTTTATTGTTTTACAAATAAAAAACAACTTTATAAAAGTATAGTTAGATAAATCCTTAAATTTCAGTTTTGACGCTCCTTATCACATTAATCTCTAAAGTTGGGACCTCTGTTATATTAACTGTTAAATTTGACCAAACTAGAAAAAATAATCAAGTGTTATCAATTATTACCTAGGAAGAAAGTGATTCATTAATTGCGTCTCATATTTTTACTATTTCAGTTGCTTGAAACATTATGACTTCAGAAAATTTTCCATTTTGACTTATCAATTTTAAAACTCATTGACTTCCATCGTCAAGTTTCATTTCCTATTCTGCATTTCATCTGATCCACAACAGTGACGTGAAATTGGTTTAGTCATTTTGACCAGTGCCACCGGATAGCTGATTCTAACTTCTTTCCCCAATGGCTTTAAGTTAATTCAAATGTTATTGAAAGAAAAGTTTAGTTACAATTCCTTTGGGAATTGATCAAGAAGGCAACCGCAAACCTTTTTTCTGAATCAAAACATTTATTAATGATCCCAACTGTATAAAACTACATTAATCTCTCAGCTACAATTCTGAAAGTACTATAAAAGTAACTTTTATTCATTGATCATGAAACCTCACATCACTGAGCTTACATTTTAACAGTAAAACAAGAACAAAATTAACAGAGTACACAATAACAAAGAACCAAAGTCTTCCTTCACATTGCAACAAAAAGTTGAAGTTAGTCACACATCCACAATCTCAGTCAACTTCTTCAATCTTAGGTCCCGCACCTGAAGCGGAACCAGATCCACCACCAGGCATGTCATCACCCATAGGCACATCTTCACCAACACCAACACCACCCTGATACATCTTAGCAATGATGGGATTGCAGATCCCTTCCAACTCTTTCTGCTTGTCCTCAAACTCATCCACGTCCGCCAACTGGTTCCCCTCCAGCCATTGTATCGCATCCTCCACAGCTTTCTCAATCTTCTGCTTATCATCTGCCCCCAACTTCCCCCCAATCTTCTCATCCTTTATCGTGTTCCTCATGTTGTACGCGTAATTCTCAAGCGAGTTTTTCGCCTCCACCTTTTTCTTCACCTCTTCATCCTCTGCCTTATACCTCTCCGCATCCTTCACCATCTTCTCTATCTCCTCCTTGCTCAACCTACCCTTGTCGTTGGTGATAGTAATCTTGTTCTTCACACCCGCGGTTTTATCCTCCGCGGAGACATTCAAAATCCCATTAGCGTCAATGTCGAAGCAGACATTAATCTGAGGAACCCCTCTCGGTGCAGGAGGGATCCCAGTGAGCTCAAACTTCCCGAGAAGATTGTTGTCCTTCGTTCTAGCACGTTCTCCTTCAAACACTTGGATCAAAACCCCGGGTTGATTATCAGAATAAGTTGAGAAAATCTGCTCCTTCTTGGTGGGAATCGTTGTGTTCCTCGGAATCAACACTGTCATAACACCACCAGCAGTTTCAAGCCCAAGACTAAGTGGAGTCACATCCAACAGCAACAAATCCTGAACCTTCTGATCCCCTTCACCGCTCAAAATCGCAGCCTGAACAGCTGCACCATACGCAACAGCTTCATCGGGGTTAATACTCTTGCAAAGCTCTTTCCCGTTGAAGAAATCCTGCAAGAGCTGCTGAACCTTCGGTATCCTAGTGGACCCTCCAACAAGAACAACTTCATGAACGTTACTCTTGTCTATCTTCGCATCACGCAAACACTTTTCCACCGGCTCCATGCACTTCCTGAACAAATCCATGTTCATCTCCTCAAACCTGGCTCTCGTAATTGTTGCATAAAAATCGATTCCTTCGTATAAAGAATCGATTTCAATAGTTGTCTGCGCGGTAGAAGATAACGTCCTCTTGGCTCTCTCACACGCTGTCCTCAACCTCCTCAGCGCTCTAGCATTCCCACTAATATCCTTCTTGTGCTTCCTTCTGAACTCTGAAACAAAGTGATTCACCAACCTGTTATCAAAATCTTCACCTCCAAGATGAGTATCACCAGCTGTAGCCTTCACTTCGAAAATCCCCTCCTCGATGGTCAATATCGAAACATCAAAAGTTCCACCACCCAAATCGAAAATAAGCACGTTCTGTTCACCTTTTCTTGAAGGCTTCTTGTCCAACCCATACGCAATAGCAGCAGCAGTGGGTTCATTTATGATCCTCAACACATTCAATCCCGAAATCGCCCCTGCGTCCTTCGTGGCTTGCCTCTGCGAGTCATTGAAATAAGCAGGGACAGTAATGACAGCGTTCTTCACGGTATGTCCAAGAAACGCCTCTGCCACTTCCCTCATCTTGATCAACACCATGGAAGATATCTCTTCGGCAGAGAATTTCTTCTCCTCGCCCTTGTACGTGACAACGATCATGGGCTTGTCCCCCGGGCCCGCCACCACCTTAAACGGCCACAGCTTCATGTCACTTTGAACCGACGAGTCGGAGTATCTGCGTCCGATTAAACGCTTGGCGTCAAAGACGGTGTTCTGCGGATTCATAGCGACTTGGTTCTTGGCCGCGTCTCCGATGAGCCTCTCGGTGTCGGTGAAAGCCACATAAGATGGTGTGGTTCGGTTACCTTGGTCATTGGGAATGATCTCAACGCGGTCGTTTTGCCACACGCCTACGCAGCTGTAAGTCGTGCCTAGGTCTATCCCTATGGCTTTGCCTTCCTTCGCTGCCATGGATTACAGAATTTCTATATGAGAAAACAATTCTGAAAACTGGTGGAGAGTTTTGTTGAGTGTAGTAGTTTGGACTGTCCAGAAGTTATGAACGAGGAGAGATAGAAGCGAGAGCAATATTTATAGTAACCGTTAAGAGTAGAGGGTTTCGAGAATTTACGGGTTAATTTAGAAGAAGAGTGTTTGAGTGCGTGCTAGAGACTTCCGGAATCGTTCGAGAACGAAATAGATAGTAAGAAGATGAATCCAGAACCATCATCATTCACTTTCTTTTGGTAAATCATTTTTGTTTTTTATTTAATTAATAAATTTACTCATTTGGTAAAATTAATTGCTTTTATTAGTCTATTATTATATTAATTTTACAATTAAAAATTACATAAGTCTTTAAAATCCTTTTGAGTTTTATTTAAGTTGTTAAACTTAAGTAGCAATAACATTAATAAAATAAAAGTAAGTTAATTCTAGAAATTTAAATAAAAAAAATTATTTAAAGTTTTCAACCTTAAATTTAATATAATAATAAACTAGAAGTTCAGAAGGAGAATAAAATTAAAGAGTTTTGGAAGGGAGGTGATCCAAGTGCAGTGAAAAAAATGGTGGAGAGGGCGGTGCGTGCCCATAGTGTCCATTCGAATTTTTAAACACCTGTTGAGAGGAGAAAGACTGGAAACTGAATGACAGTGATAAGAGTAATGATTAACGACAGAAAAAAAATTAGTAAGGTTTCTTTATTTACTGTTTTAAAAACAGTTTTAATTTATTTTAGTTTTTAAAAGTTAAACAAATTGTTTAGTAAATATTAAAATATTTTTTAAAAGAACTTTTAATTTTTAAAATAAAAAATAACTAATAAAATACTTTTTATTATAATTTTATATTTTTATTTATAATATTAATATTTTATCTAATAATTATACTAAATAATTCATTTGTTTATTATAGATTTATTAAAAATATTTTTTAATTTTATTTATATCAAATTATTTAGTTTAAATTTATTTTATAAAATAGTGTTATTAAATGTTTTTTTAAACGTCACAGAAAACAAATAAAATTAATCTTTCAAATTCTTTTTAAAAACTACAAACAAAATTAAATTTTTATTTATTTTGTTTACTTCTTTTTCTTTTTCACAACCAAAATTAAATTTGTATTTATTTAGTTTAAATTTTTCTTACATTTTTTCTATTTTTTCTTTCACTTGCCTTTATGTTTCCAATTCCTTACTGTAGGTTTGTTTCTTATCATTAATAAACTAATAGATTAACTTTAATACTAATCAAAATGATTAAATATTATTCATATATTTTTTAATCGAAATATAAGATTTGTAATAGTTGTCGTTATAAGAACCAATTTTTATAATAAATAGTTTATATATACTTGTATAAATCATTTTCCTCTAAGATTATAAATTCCTAAAAAAAAGTCTTAGATTAATTGTATTACTACTTTAGTAGTTGAGTTTTCAATTAACAATTGTATTTACATTATTTGCTAAAATATTTACGTTTATTAAAAACAACTAAATTAAAAAAAAATAATTATGTGTATATATCTTGATTAATGATAATAATAATAATAATTAGTTGCAAATCATTCTTATATTACATGATAAACAAGCAGTTGTCAATATAACATTTAAATTTAAACCAACAATCTTTTTAAAACAATTAACAAAATAATATAATATTTAAATTAATATCTATAATTATAAATGTTTTTTAAAGTTTTTTTTAATTAAACATTAATTTTGTAAAAATATGCGTTTTGAAATGTTTAATGAGATTCAATTAAAATTTATAAAAATAATATTTTTCTAATCAACTAATAATATTTTTATAATAAATTTATTATTAACAACTTTTTGAAAAAGAAAAATAATAATTAAAATCATTATCATCACAGTAAGTTATATAAGAATTATAAATATAAAACATATTAAACATAAATCATAAATAAAAATTAAAATAAAATCATTATTATTATTTAAATTTGATGATATCTAATATATAAAACAAAAACAAAAAAGATTATATTTGTATTAAAAATTGACTAAAATTAATTTCACTAAAAAATCCTTTTAAATTTACCTATTTATATTAATTTAATAAAAAATTAATTATTAAAAAATAAAAAGTTTAGTTTTACCTGTTTTGTATTAATTTAATTATTTAGAAATAATATAACAAATTTTAAACAGATCATCGATTTAAATTAAATTGATTGAGTGCGATGCTCAACACAATCTTATTTAAAACTTACCTTCCAACCTTTATAATTTAAATATTTAATTAAAAAACATAAACTATAAATACATAATTTTAAATTTGCTACCAAATGATATACAGAATTAAAATTATTTTTGCATACAATTTAAGTGATATATTTAGATATGTCACAAAATAATGATAGTTAGCATAATATATATATATATATATATATATATATATATATATATATATATTCTTAAATTTTATCAAACTATTTTTATTGTATAATAATATTATACCTAACATATAATATTTTTTCATGTAATGAATATACTCATCATGTTTTAAAATAAAATAGACAATAAAATAATTAATTTCATGATAAAATATTTATCAACACATTGAAACTAAAACACATTATATTTGTGGTGGATCATAGTGTAATCCCAGGATAATTTTAAGCATTCATGTGCATATGGTGAAATTTTTGGTCCTTGTTGAATTTACACTCCAAAAGAGCATGTGTTTCAGCAATGTCTTTATTTATTATATTTTAATCCGTGCGACTTATCTATTAATGAAATCTAAATATTGTATCGGATTTGTTAATCTTAATCATCATATAACTTGAGAGTATTTTGATCGTACTATATTATCATTTACATTTCATAGTCACAGAGAGATGGTCTCAATTATAAAATTATACATTAATTTTTTATTTTTTTTTAGGACAATTCTCTCTATATATAAATACCTTATTCCATTAACACTTTACCACTTGCCTTCTTTAAAAAAACATGGAGATACATTGTTTGAGTGTCAATTTGATTGTTTGATTTATATCCTTTAAGCATTTAACCTTTAACCTATTTGAAAGTTTATTTCTCGATTTGTTTTAATAAATACCCTCAATTGATAGTTAATATTTTGCTATCAAATGACCCATGATTCACGTTGACTACTTGAGTCAATTATTTGTTCTAGTATTTAACTAGTTGTTTGAGTGATATGATTTAAACAACAAAAATAAAAAATTAACATTGTAATACCAGCTTTAAAAACCTTTTCTCCTATAATCTTAAAATTTCCGATTAAACTAGATCAAATAAATAATTATTTTATTTGAAATAACCTTCTAATCGAATAGTCATATTCTTTTCACCAATTTCAATATATGTCACTTGAAAAAATTAAAAGAATAAAAACTTTATATAATTTTTGAAAAATAGAAAAATTTAGTTTATGTAATTTTAACCATTTAACGGTTCATTTATTATAAAATTTCATATCATGTCATGTAAGCACTTTTTTCAAATATGTTTTTACTATGAAATAAATTTTATTAAAAATAATAATTTATACATAATTTCTGTTAAAGAATTAGCAAGAGCAATCAACTTTTGTATTTTTCAAACAAAACCTAATCAACAAATACAAATATTACAAAAAATATTATTTTAAAACAATTTCTCTCTTACTATAATATGATAATAAATGCAAAATTAATACACCTAATAATTTCATGACACTTTTCACTACTCAACAAAGTGATTGACTAGGACATTAGTTTTCTTGATCTTAATATATTAAATATTTATTATTATTATTATTATTATTATTATTTTCTCATGTTATTTAAACTTTTGTAATAATTTTAAATTGTTTTTTATTTATTTAAGTAAATAATTATTAAAACTTCATATTATAAATCTGGTAGATTTTAATCCATATTAATAAAGTTAATATTTTTTAATTAAGTGAATTTATATATAAATTTAAGCATATATTTTAAATATAATTATTTAAAAATTTGAAATATTCTGAATAAAAAAACATGTAAGTAAAAAATAATAATAAAATATTATATTTCCTAAATATATTTAAATTATAATTATGAAATCTCATTTATAACTATTTAAAAATTTATTATTATTATTATTATTATATAAAAGAAACCAAATTTGAATACAATTATGTGCATTAATTTATTATTATTTTAGTCCCTGATATAATTCATGAAATATATTACATTAATTTTGTTTGATGCACAAATTTATTTATTTATTTATTTTTCAAATGATTACAACATTTCCTCATTTACTTTAAGTGGATAAAACCACAGTAGTTTCAAAGTCATGAAAATGTCTCAAATGCATTTTCAACCTTTCACATTTTTTTTACGAGTTTGCAATAAATGATAAATCAATACTGCAAAATAATAAATCACATTAACATTTTTATTTTATTTAATGTCAATAACTTATAAAATATCACTCCGCTTATCAACATTTAAGTATAACTTGGCTTATCAACATTTAAATTTAGAAGATGTCCAAACACAAATAAGTTTGTAAATTTATTATTAGACTTAACTGTTAAAACAATTATAATAACTTTATCATATTATTATAGATAGTTTTCTACAAAAATATATGATAATTTTACTTTCTTTTTAATTTATATACTAGTTTGTATATTTTCATTAAAAAAATGATAGGTTAACATATATTAGTTTAATATATATTTTATTCTAAAATAAAAAATAACGAAATAAGATAGAATATCTCTTTAAGAATAAATAATTGATAAAGTTACTTGATTTAAGGATGAAATGATTTATTCCTTAAAAAGAATCTAAATAGGGAATAATTGATTGATTTTATTTTTTAAAGATAGATGCAGAAGAAAACATGTTAACCCAAAAATTAATTTTTTTCTCATTACATCTCTACAGTGGGCCTTAACCGACCGCGGCCCACATACATCCTTACCAACCATGGGCGAATGTTAATTTAAGATTATATTGGGGTATAATTTGATAAACCTAATTTTGAAAAAAGAAATTAAAATAAAATGTGGGGGGCAATTGAAAATATGAATAGATATTCATAACACAACTCGTCTAAGAAGGGTTTTTTGTGACCCCTCCGTTCTCACTCACGCACGCAGTTCTCTCTTCTCTTCTCACTCGGCAGAAGAGAGAGAAATATCCAATACCTAGCTTACTCCCAATCCAATCCTTTCAATCTATTGTCTATTTATCCCTTCTCTTCTCTATTTTCTTCCCCTTTATCCTTCTCTTCTCGTTGTGGTTCGGCGTCGCTGAATCTGTTACCGCTGTGTCAAATCGGACTGCTAAGATTGCATCGCGAGGCATGCAGCAGAGTGATCAGACGGTGTTGAGCTTGAGGCCCGGTGGTGGAAAAGGCAGCAGGCTCCTCGGTCCTCGATTTGACTCCTCCTCGTCTTCTGCTTCCCCTGCTTTTGGCTCCTTTTCCGCCGATCTTCCTCTTTTGCGGCCCCATGGCGCCGCTCCCTCTCCCTTCTCTATCAAGGTATCTATTCCCTTTTCCTGGATCTGCCTTTTTGCCTCTTCAATTTGTCTTTTTCTCATCTTGTCTTAATTTTCATCTTTATGTTTCTTGCTTTCTATTCATACTAATTTCATATTGTTGCGGAGGAAGAGTTCTGTTGATTTTTTTCTTCCTCCTTGTTTTTTATTTATAATATACCTCTGTGTGTCTTTGTTGAATGTTTTCTGGCGGATATTTTTGGATCTCATCAATTCGGAATTGAATAATATCGGTACTCAATTTGGGTTTATTTATCCCTATTAAAGTTTAAAATTTGATGTGAGAGTTATTGTGCCGAGTTTTGAATTTGAGGTGTTCATTGGGATTCAATTTCATTTCTGTGTTTGTTTTGTCCAATAGGTAGATTTAAATGTGTGTCTGGATTTGTGATGGTTTGTTTTGGAATTTAAGTAATTCAACTAATTTTTTTATAGTTGTCTGGGTGCTAAAACATAAAGAGAATCCTTGGAAGACCCAGCTAACTGAAACCTACAAGATATATCTTTGTTGTACTGTTTTTCTCACTGTCTATAATGAATTTAAATGTCCTAATTCTTGGTTGGGCACTAAGTATGTGTACCTGCTGTAAATATGGACAAAAAGCAATATGTGGGCTTTAGGTGAGATTGATTAAATTTCAAGTTACCCATAAAGGTCCCACATACAGTGAACTTAATTTCACAATTTTGATGGTTGTGACAACTTCTTTGTGGCTGTTATGGCCTGACATTGTTTCCCCCCTCCCAGATTCGGTGATTGAGAGGTTGTGATAAGTCTTATACTTCTTTGCTCTGAAGGCAGTAAAGGCTTCAAATGAATCTCTTGAGCTGTCGTGTTGCAAAATCTGTTGACATAATCATAACCATTATTCTATTTACATGTGGTTGATTTATTATCAGGTCAACTGTAGAGCAGATTACAAGCTTAATGTATTATTACATGTAAAGTTCATGATGGTCACGGTTTGACTGTGATGTCTGTTAGTTGAACTTAGTTTCCTTGAATTCTATCTTTCTTGTAGCACTGCATATGATATAATACATCTGCCCCTGATCATATGTACATTTTGAATGGTGATGGTTAAATTGTGTACATGTCAAGGGATTTGTATCTAAAAGTTCTGGTTTTACAGGCTGGTGATTCACGGTTTGAGGGTCGTGAGCGTGTGCGATATACCAGGGAGCAGCTTTTACAGCTCAGTGAGGTAATTATTGTTATTTATGCTTAAAGTTAGTGTTAACTAATTATACCTTTTCTGAAGGAGATTTGTTTATTCCACCTGCTTCCTACATATGATTATTTTCCTTTTAATTTGGAAATTGTGATTAATTAACATTTTTCGTTGTCTAGTGATTGAATTTTTCTTTTATTAGCCTGTGTGTATTGATTACCTTGTGTGCGTGTTACCTTGTATTACCTATATTAATAATTAAACCTCTAATAGCGGTTTTGTATGATCTCTCTCCTTCCTTGTAGGACAACCTTTGTTATTCCCTATGCCTCTGGATAAAAGTTTTACATATTATATTTTGCTTTCTTAAATATGTTGTCTCTTTGCTCTGGACAACTTCTTTGGAAACCAAGTGTTTCAGTTTTTGTGACTAAAGATTCATCATTTGTCTAATTTCTGAACCTTTTTATTCTTAGGGTGTTGAGATCCTTGATGATGTTTTGAAGATCAAACAAGACATTGAAGCTGAACTTTTTGGTGAAGATCAAAGTTGGGCCCGCCCAGAAAACAATGTGAGTGTGTATTCTGTCTCCTATTTATGCTTTTAACCAATACCCTATTCCTTCTCCATCCTGTCAGTAAATTGATTGATGAAGTTGATTTATTTTGGTGTTGATCATTGAATAGTATAATGTCTATTTTTTTATGTGATGCTGCTTTTTTATTATTTTGGGTAGTTAAAATTATATCATATCATTTTAATGAATTTAATTTGTGACACTGTCAAAATTATGAGTTCAACTATTAAAATTTTATGTAATGATGCATATTTTATCTTCTGCAGCCCTCACATCAATTTCAAAATCGATATTCTGAGCCAGATAATCGGGACTGGCGTGGACGATCTGGCCAACTTTCTGGTAATGCGGATGAGAGGTCTTGGGATAATCTCAAGGAGAGTAGGGAGTTTGGAAATAATCGTCCAGAGCAACTGAATTCTCAGTTTTCAAAGGCACAAATATCTTCTAACCAAGGGGTACTAATAACTGGCAGAAATGCATGATATCTATTTTGTAGTCGTAATGTTTTGTATTTAAATTTGATCCAGTGTCATGTAAAGCTCTTTGCATCATCAGTAAACAAAAATGAAAAGTAAAAGCTTTACGAGCTTTTAATATGGTGGCATTAAATGGTTCTCTGTGTACCTGGTGGATTAACTCGTTTATCTTCCTCTCTTTTTTTAATTCTTTCTATCTCTATTAAATCAGGGGGGACCTACTCCTACACTAGTCAAGGCTGAGGTGCCATGGTCAGCTAGAAGGGGAACTCTCTCTGATAAGGATCGTGTCTTAAAGACAGTTAAAGGGTAATATATTTGTATCTTGGTAGTACTTGTTATAGGTTAATGGGGGTATCCTATTATGTGAAATGCTAGCAACATTTTTCAACATGCCCCTTATTGTTTGATGAATTTCATATTCCACTTAATAGAGAGTGATTCCCATTTGATGTTGGTAGGTCTCATGAATTTATCTCAACAATAAAGAGTTTATTAAAAAGCGTATGTTGACTATTAAAGATGACAAAGTAGCAATAGATTGATCGTACCATATTATGTGAAAAATAGACTTGGCTCCCTCTTAATCTATAAAGTATATAAGACGAGAGGAAGAGTATCTTTTGATTGAATTGAAGCACTTTGTTAACAGAACTCCCTGGAATCAAGAGTGGGTACATTCTTACTTTCTCACTTTACATATTTACTCACATCAGAGAAGTTGAGCCTGTGAAAAGTAATCTTAAGTAGAATTTGTGAGTTGTGACTAGATTAATGTATGTATATTTTTTCTCTGTAAACTATTGAGTGCAAGCTACTTTTTGAACATTTTCACTCATGTAATTGTTAAGATTCTACAAAATTACATGGCTCTGAGACTTATATTAAGTATTGTGAACCATCTCAATGCAGAATACTAAATAAGTTGACTCCTGAGAAATTTGATCTCTTGAAGGGTCAGTTGATCGATTCTGGCATTACATCTGCCGACATATTGAAGGTTCATTTTATTTTCTGTTAAAAATATTTGTCCATCACATCCTTGTTCTTAATTGATTTGGTTGGAAATGCAGGGGGTTATTTCACTGATATTTGATAAGGCAGTGCTAGAACCAACATTTTGCCCAATGTATGCCCAGCTGTGTTCTGATCTTAATGAAAAACTGCCTCCATTCCCATCTGATGAGCCGGGAGGGAAAGAAATCACTTTTAAGAGAGTACTCTTGAATATATGCCAGGAGGCTTTTGAAGGTGCAGATAAACTGAGAGAAGAAGTGAGACAGATGATTGCTCCCGACCAGGAGATGGAGAGACGGGACAAGGATAGACTTGTCAAGATTCGAACCCTTGGAAACATTCGATTAATTGGTGAGCTGTTGAAGCAAAAAATGGTTCCTGAAAAGATTGTTCATCACATTGTTCAGGTTCTATCAGGACTAGAGACTTGGCTGTTATATAATCTATTGTTGGTTTGGGAATATGTACTTACCTGTGTGGTTGACTAATACTTGGAACAGGAACTTTTAGGACCTCCTGACAGCAAGATCTGTCCAGCTGAGGAAAATGTGGAAGCCATATGCCAATTTTTCAACACTATTGGTAAGCAGCTTGATGAAAGCCCAAAATCACGGCGTATTAATGATATATACTTTAGTCGGTTGAAAGAATTGAGCACCAATCCCCAACTTGCTCCGCGACTGCGATTTATGGTTCGCGATGTTCTAGAGTTGCGTTCTAATAACTGGATTCCAAGGCGTGAAGAGGTAAAACATACACAATTGCTTTGTAAATATGCTATATTTCAAATGTTGGAAGCTGCTTCTATAAGTTTTTTATCAAATAATTATTACTACTTGTTTACTACTGTAGGTGAAAGCTAAAACCATCACTGAAATTCACTCAGAGGCAGAAAAAAATCTTGGATTACGTCCAGGTGCCACTGCAAGTATGAGAAGTAGCCGCGTAGTTTCTGTATCTCCTGGAAATGCAAGTCCGGGAGGATTCCCAATTGCCCGTCCTGGTACAGGTGGAATGATGCCTGGGATGCCAGGGGCGAGGAGGGTGCCAGTGATGCCTGGAATTGATAATGACAACTGGGAGGTGCCTAGGACAAGATCAATGCCGAGAGGAGACATGTCAGGCATACAAACTGGAGGACGTGGTCAGTCTCCTTTCATTTCTAAGCCATCAACTGTCAACTCAAAGTTATTACCTCAAGGTAGTGGTGGTACCATAAGTGGGAGAAGCAGTGCCCTGGTTCATGGAGGTGGTGGTGCTCCTTCTGCTCGTCCCCAAAACATTAGTGTTGAACCCCCAACTCAAATCCCTTCACATGTTAAAGCTGTTTCTGCCGCACCCTCTGAGAAGCCCCAAGCTCCAGCTTCAACATTGAATGTTGAAGAACTTCAGCAGAAAACTGTTTCTCTTCTTGAAGAATATTTTGGTGTTCGGCTTTTGGATGAGGCACTGCAGTGTGTGGAGGAACTAAAAGCTCCATTTTATTACCCTGAGGTTGTGAAGGAAGCCATTTCCCTTGCACTAGATAAAAGTCCGCCATGTGTTGAACCTGTAGGCAAACTTCTTGAGTATCTGTTTGCTAAAAAGATTCTTTCAGCCACAGACATAGGGACTGGGTGCATGTTATTTGCTTCTTTGCTGGATGATATCGGCATAGATTTACCTAAAGCACCTAATAATTTTGGTGAGATAATAGGGAAACTAGTTTTGGTTCAGGCTTTGGATTTTAAGGTGGTGAAAGAAATCCTTAAGAAGGTGGAGGATGACCGGTTTCAGAAAACAATATTTTCCTCTGCGTTGCAGGTAATTAGCTCTGCATCCGGCCAAGCCCTGTTGGATTCACAAGCATCTGATATTGAGGCCTGTCAGAGCCTGTTCAACTGAATCAGATGAGTATGCATGAGAATGGTGATCTCTGTAACTGATTGAACATCTCTGCCTTGTTTCACTACTTTCAAATTCCCTTCCCTATAAGCTCGCACTTTTCAGAGCATTTTGTATTTTACAGTATGTTATAAAAGTGGGAGCTTCCAGTATCAGGTATTTTCTCGAGTTGTATAATTTTTTTTGTCGTAGAGGTGTTTTTTGAGGGAAAAGTCAAACCATAAAGCTACGGATTTTGTTTTCCAGTTGGCTAATCATGTGCCAAGAGAGTGGCCCATCCATCCAGGGGTCCAAATGTTTTTGTACTTCATTAGTTTCATTTTTTTTTCCTTTATTTTATTGACAGAGTAATTGTTAAACTGCTCCGTTCATAAATATCATTATTGTCTTTACTTTCCCATATTCTTTTTTGACGGTTTCAATTTCAGCTTTGTGTGCATGCATGTCCAATTATCAACTTGGTTTCAATTTTCTACACTCTATTCAGTTTAATTTTAAAATGTTAAATCCCACAATATCATCAACTTTGTTTGATTGTGTTTACAAATTTAATTTTTAACTAATTATTGTGAATTTGTTGTCTTATTGACTGTGGTTTATTAAAAGATTTCATGTTTGAATAATATTCTAGAATTGATTTTTTGTGTCATGACATTAACAATGGCAAACAATGAACATAGTTTAGTTCTCAAGATCAATCAAAAATCTAATTTGAAATTAGTTTAGAAAAAAAAAACAAATTTAACCTTGAGAAAGTCACTATAAAAGCACATGAAATTGTTCATAAAGTGTTAACAATTGAATTCAAATTACATTAACATATCTATTTTTTTTTTAAGTTTTTATATCTTATTATTTATTATTATATAATCATTGTTTGAATATTAAAGAACAAATTTTAATAACAATTGTATTTTAAAAAATAACCAAGTCTTAGTATAGAAATGTTAATACTTTGTAAAACACATTATTGAATTTACATGTTCGGAAAAAAGTTATATTAAACTAATATAATATTTTACTACTAATTTATAATTACTAAACACATTCAAGTATAAAAGAATAATGTTTAAATCCAACGAACAACCAAATAAAAAAGGAAAATTTTTCAATCTAAATAGAAATTATATTGAACATTCATTTATATAACATAATCTAAAATAATATCAATTTTTTATTAATAATATTTATTTCATTTATAATATACTTTATTCTTTTGAATATTTTTCTACTTAATTTACGATAAGATATATCATTAATATTAAATAAATAATAGATTCAGAATATATTGAATTTTTTATTTTAAAATTTAAAAGAAAAAATTGATAGATAATTTTAAAATTTATTTGAATTATAAGTAGGATATTAAATAATTTTTATTAATAATTTATTTATTTTTATTTGAATTCATTGATAAGGTAGGTTGATTACTGTTATGTATCTTTTTATATTTTTATCTTTTATTTTTATTATTTATTATAAATATATATAATTTTTTTAATTTTTTTAATTTTTAATATTTTTATAATTTTATATTTTAATATAAAAATTATAATTTTTTATTTTTTATTTAAAAAAGATATTTCACAATTTTTTAATAGAAAAAGTAAATACATTTATTTTTTATTATTGTTATTTATTATTATAATAAATATATATATATATATAATATAATAATATGAAATATGGATATAATTTTTTTATTATTATTATTATAAATTTGGTTACAAATGAGTGCGCAAGACAACATCACCGGCCAGGCACAACAACGGAAGGAGATCTATGTGATTATTCCCGCTTATTCCCGTTTTTAACTTTTAAATTATTATTATAATTGGATTTGTACAATTACAATAATTAATCAAAAATTGCCATGGAACGGACGGTGTCTAGCGGGTGGAGGGAGAAATTAGGTGTCCTATGGTATATTCTTATTTATTTGACCTGGTGTTCATCTGAACTGAAATAAATGGCAGAGAAGGAAGCTGCAAGCGGGAAAGATGAATCGCTGAAGTTAGCGGTGGCTATATCGCTGCTTCGATCAAAGATTCTTAAAAACGCAAACGAGTCCAGTGCGCTATCTCCTTCTCAATCTGATGCTCTCCTCCGTTGGAAGCGAAAGGTTCTAAACTCTTCCTCAGTTCTCATCCGAATCTAATGTCTTCGAATCTTCACTTTTATTTCACTCTCGGATTCTCAGGCAAAGGAAAGGAAGCAAGAGATACTGAGACTCAGAGAAGATCTCAAGGACGCTCAAGGTTCGTCCTCATTCCTCTCGCATATACCACAAAATGACAAATTGATTCTGAGTTTCTGGATGTAGATGCTTCGCACTGCGATCTCTTCCCAGAGAGTGCTGCTTGCAAGTGCTATTTCTTCGACAATTTCGGAGAATTAAATCCTAAGCATCATGGAACTGGTTGTGACAACAGATTCAGCGATGTCCTCCAACGCAGATTCCTAAGACAAGGTTTAATCATCGTCGTCGTTGTCCTCTACTTTGTTACATCACTACGCTTTTTGAATTGACGTTGATTGAAAATATTTTCTTTGTGTAGTTCGATTTAAGGAAAGGAGGAGAATAATAGATTCTTCTGCTTCCTCTTCAGGTCAGCAGCGGCTTTCTTTAGGTACATATTAACAACATTTATGGTTATAAACAGTGAGGGTTAGACTGTGTGGGAATCATTGGGATTATTTGTGTTTCATAATTTATAATTGGAGCTGTGTTTTCTCAAATAGGTTAAGATGACGTGGCTACTTTTGGGAATTTTAGTGTTAAGTGCAAGTAATTGTACTAAAGTTGATTTTTAATTTGACACTAAAACCGCAGGTTTAATCAAGGAGGATGAAACAGAACAGCTTAGGGCCTCTGTTGATTTTCTTGTGGAGCTGTGTAGTTCTCCATCACCTGTTAAGATGCTTCACTGTTTTTTAGTATTATTTTTGTTGGCCCAAAGGATCCATTTAACATTTGAATAATGCAGTTCTTAGTAGAGTTCATAAATACTATATATTATACTAGTGTTATTGAGTAGAATTAAACAATTAATTTTTTTTGACATGCTTTGTTGATGTATTTTTTTGTCATGTAGTGTATTCAATTTATTTTGCAGGTGGATGGTTCCAAGTTTGCAAATTTTGCCCATCAAGCTGTAGATTTTATATTAGGTATTCTTCTCTTTCCAACCTTTATTTTTCTAATTAAATTATTGAAAATACTATATCTATTTATTTGAGAAACCAGTGCATCAAGCTGTAGAGTGTTGTTAGGAATCAAAATACTGAACTATTCTAGTAATATCTAAAAGCTACCATTAACACTACTCCAGGGAAGCTAAAAAGGTAATTATTCGTTTTTCTACCCCTTCATGTATATATATATATATATATATACCAACTAAATAATGACCATACAAGTTTCACAATCTCACTTCAGTCACTTCAGGAAATTAAAATATAAACTAATATATATTATAAATAATATTTTAACCATATCCTATAAAATCTTCTAACCTTGTCTCCACCTCATTCTACCTTATTGGACCTTCAACTCATCCTATCATTGCCGCCTTGTTGAATGAGAACCTTGTCCGCAAGGTTCTGAAATAAATTTGGAAATTTAAAAAGTCAAGATGGTTGGTTTGTACGTGTGTAGGTGGAAAAAGGTGGATACAGGCATGAAGATTGGGCGGCTGGATTTTGCATTCCGATATTCATCTTTAACTTTTTTTTTTAATTATTTTTATTTTTTTCTCAATTTTTATTGGAATTGAAAATTAAGTTTTTATTGTTGTTTTTATTGAATTTTTTTCTTATTTTTTATCTATATTATTCTTTTAAAAATAATTATATTTATAATAAATTAATTTTATTATATATTTTTTATATATAAATAAATATTTATAATTTTATAATTATTATTAATTAAATATATATTTTTAATTTATTATATTTATATTAAAAAAATATATAAAAATATTTAATTATTTTTTATTTATATATATAATATTTATATTATTATTATTATTATATTATATTCAAATATTTAATCACATATATATATTAATTTATTTTTAAATTATTTAAAAATATAAAATATTTAATTTATAATAAAATATTTAATAAATTAGCTTTTATTTAATTAGTTTAAAATAATAAATATTTAAATTATTAATTTTTTTAATATTTTAAAATATAATTATTTATTAAGATAAAATTTAATATATAATAAATAAGAATAATAAAATTTAATAAATATAAATTATAAATAAAATAATATTAATTATTATTAAGATTTATGTAAAATATTTAAAATAAAATAAAAAATAAATTAATTTTATGTTTATTAAATTGGTTGAAAAAATTAAAATAAAATAATAAAATATAAAATATAACAAGTTAAGAAAAATAATAATATAATAAATTAATTAATATAAAAAATAAAAAAATAGATAAAAGAAAAATAAAAATAAAAAAATATAAAAAATAACTTTATATAAAATAAAAATAAATAAAAAAATTATTTTTATAATATTAATATTTGCACTCATCTCCATGTACGCCCGCTCAGACTTTTTAATGCGAAAAAAATTCCAATCCGTCCCTAATTACCTTTTTCCCGTAAAAAACTAGGAACAATAACAGTTCGGTCGCCAAGATACGAATTTAATTGCGAACGTAGTGGATAGCAGCTAAGGGTTAAAGAGGAATCAAATTTAATTTTTGAGAGAGAGAGATTAATGAATGGGAATTCAATGGAGATGGGGAAGTGTTGTTGCTTAGTCAAAGAAACATTGGAAGGCTGGGACGAAAAATTAGAAGGCCAATAAGATTTTGTCGTATGGGTAAAAAGAAAAGGCACATTGATTGTGGAAAGTTTGGACGATCGAGATCGGGATTCGGAAAAACTAAATGGAATAGGTGGTGCGATGGAGGGGCCAGGTGGCTTGTGAGAAGTTGAAATCGGTGGTAAGTGGATGTTGTGGTCAGTCTGAACGGTTGAGTGAGGGGAGAGCAAGGGCAGCTGTACAAGAAGAGGGTGCAACAGTAGTGGTGTGGGTGGGTCACCGTGGTGACGTGGGGAGGAGATATGGAAAGGGTCAGTGGGACAAATCAGCAAAAATTGTGAGTGGACATTTGTTATTGATGGTGGTGGTAGTTGTGGCAGTATCGGCAACGACTGTTGTGATTCTGATACCTGCAATGGAGATTCGACGGAAAAGTGGAGTTCATGAGGACACGGAGGAAAACTTGCTTGTGTTGACGACGACTTCGGTAGTAACCACTGTGATGATATATAGGATGTGTGCAGGTAATTTCCAGTGTGGTGTGATTGGGGAATATGTCGGAGTTGGTGTAGGATATGATGGAAAACTTTGGGACTCATGGTACGGTTGAAAGTGTGGCAAGAAATGACGGTGATGTTGTTGATTTATGGAGTTGTGGTAGTGGGAGGGGTTGGGGTTGTAGCTGCGCAACCATATTGGATAGAGCATTAATGACAGTTGAGAGGATAGCATGTTAAGAATTAATGGACATGGTAGTGTGAAAAGACTTTTGGAGTTCTTCGTGTTGGATGCTTTGGGTACGTAAGACCTTTATTTTTTGTAAAATAACTTGGAAGTTGTTTAATTTGGTGGTGGTGTGGGTGTGGGAGGAGAGTAAGGTTTATGAAAGCTCCAAATGTTCCGAATCAAAATACCCAACTATTCTAATAGTATCTAAAAAGCTACTGTCAACACCATGAGCAATAATATAAACAATCAATTTTTATCAAAGATCCATTTAATAATCGCTTTTTAAGTTTTATATTAGTATTTATGTATCATATTTTATTATTCTCTTTTTATCCATTAATAAAAAAAATATTATTTTAAGATTTTTTTTATGTTTGTAAAATATTCATCGGTATCTGTTCAACTTTCTTCCCTTTAAAGACACACGTGGATATAACCTAAAATATATCATCAGCTTAATAATGACCTTACAAGTGTCACTATCTCACTTTAGAAAATTAAAATATAAACTAATATATATTATAAATTATATTCAATATTTTACCATTTTCTATAAAATCCTTTAACCATTTCTTTTGGGTCTCTAGATCATTCTAAAATGATGTTCTTTCTTTTCGACCTCCAACTCATCCTGTCAAGTTTATATTCGGTACGGTGCTTTTTTTCACTGATTGATTTTTCCAATTTCGGGCGTTCGCTATCATTCTAACTAACTGCACTTAATAGTAATCTATGCTGTAAACATGCAAGACCATGTGATCAGTCTCCCACTCTCCTGAAAAACTATATGATGAACTGGAAGGTAACTTAGTAGTGGTCCCCATTTCCCTTTCCTCAGATCAAGTGGTTATTTTAGATATGAGAGATTTACATTAAAATTTACTTCTTGAGTTATACTAAGTTTAACTTTGATTTATAGGGTTTCGTTATGGATCACCATTACACATAGCCCACGATCATATATTTCTTTGTTATTCACTCTGAAGGTTATATTTTTATGTCTTTTTTTGAAGTTACGTTGAAGAATCTTTTGTCAATGGGAAGGACCCAGGAACTTGTTGAAGGAATTATCAACAGCCTAGTTGCACGTTTGATTAGGCAAATGTGCACGTCCTTGTCAGAAAATGGTATGTATAGTTTGAGATTATGTTAATAATTGTAGATTACTTTGAAGTTTAATGTGTAAGACGGTAGGTAAACTTGTGTAAAATTGTCGCCATTTTGACCTTAATGTTGTAGCTTCACGCCTTCACCATTTTATGACCATTTATTTCTTAATTTTTCTAATCATTGACTTACTGTTTCTTTTTTGCTGTTCCTTATTCGTATCTTCTAGGGTCTCAACACACTGGAACCAATGCTCAGTTTTGTATTCAGCATTTGATCCGTAAACTTGGAAGTGAGCCGTATATTGGGCAGCGGGCAATACTTTCAGTGTGTCAAAGAATTTTGGTGCTAGCAGAACGTTTGCTTTTCTCTGATCCTTTTGATGATGGCTTTCCCAAAATGCATGAATGTATATTCATAATGTAAGTTCTTTGCACAAGCGCAATTGTACAATCTCCAGATTCATAAATCATAATGAATAGCTCAATACAGGTTTTTGTGGAATATAATAATGTTTTTGAAGGCATAACAATTACCTTTTTTTTGTTTATGCGGTGTTGTCAGGATTCAGCTTATCGAGTTTTTGGTTGCGGATTACTTATTGGAGTGGTCAAAAGCTGAAGATTTTGACAACGGTATGCTTCATACTTGCTACTACTGAACTTAACTAATTAGTTTGACATATCGAGTCCTGATTTCCATGACCCAAAACAAGTGAGCCAACATTTAGCATTTCTCTAACGTTTTCACTGTATATTCTTGCTAATTGGCTGTAATGAAGTAATCAAGATGAACCAAGTTTAAAAATTGAAACTGAGTGGTAACTTAATGGTGACAATGACATTTCAGTGCTCCTTGAAGATTGGGTGACATCAATTGTGCAGGCAAGAAAAGCATTAGAACTTCTGGAAAGCAGAAGTGGACTATATGCGCTCTATATGGACCGAGTCACAGGTGAATTGGCAAAACAACTTGGTGGTGTCTCATCTTTTCTGAAGCTTAAACCGGATATAATTAATTGCCTCTTTCGCTAAACATGATTGGGTATTGGAAACATTAAATTAAAAACCAATGTGATGCTTACCAGCTTAGTGTCAACGCACCAGCGTCCCTAGCTCGTTAGTGTATGTTTGGATTATAATCTGTAGTCTGTATCTCTCAATTATCAAACACTGGTTGGTTTTGAGTGTAACTTTTATTTCACCTACAGAAAACATCAGGGACGGATCAACTTCATTTTAATTGGAGCGACGAAAAGGCAGAGCATCTTTGTTAAGTATTAAGTCAAAAAATGCGTTGTCCCCAAAAGAAATATGTTACATGTATAACGAAGAAAATCAACAAATTTGAGAGGTCAAATAATTTTTTAATTGGAGTGACCAACGAGAGACTACTATTGATAAGATGATCAAGTTAAAAAAAGTAACACTTCTTTCGAAAAAAAATAAATATACAAAATCAAGAAAATTTTATATTTAAGGAACTTGTAACCCCTACACCTGACAACATCCTGCATGAATTATATATACTTCAAAAAAAATTAGAACATAATGTTAGTGCCAGTTTATGGTTTGAGTAAAAAGTTACTTTTAAATTATATTAAATTATAATGTGGTAATCATAATCCAACCGTATACTTCATCTTACTTGTTTGAGTTGAATTTTTTTAAAGGATTGAGTATTCAAACATTAACTTGTTATAAACGAGGAGAGAAAGGAATTTACTCACCTCAATTTTCCTTATTAGTTAATCATTTTTAAACATATTAAGGTGCATGACTTTGAACCCATTTTTATTTAAACATTTGTATGTTTTCATTGATTAATTCGTATAAATTAATGTCACACACCATATTTATATATATATATATATATATATATATATATATATATATATTTTTAAGAATTAAACAAGATTTGGCTACAGATCTAAATTAGGTATTTCTGTTCAGCATCCTCGCCTATTCACTTCTGGAAACACATGCACGGAATATTCTGAAAATTTTAAGACCTCCAAGCCACAAGGATTCCAAAGGTAACCAACTTTGAGCTTCTCACTTTTCTATTTTTTCTTTTTTCATCTTTTTATCAAATTAACATTCAAATCAGGCATTACAGTCATAAACCAAGGAATCAACCAAATATTGCATTCAAAGAAAATTTCAAGAATTCGACTACTCCCAACAAACAAGAATTTCTCAACTAGCAAAGGCCACATATAGAGGACCAACCAACCTAAGGCCACGCAATGTCAGGTAAACCTCCATCTTTATTCGGGGCATCTTGTTTTGGGGTCGCTTTTAGTTTCTTGCTTACATTCAATTCCTTAGACCTCAATTTTCATCTTTGCTTCCATTACCATGACACCCTAACCATTATCACCAACGCTTCAATCTACAACCACTTATTACTTGTTACCACATCCAAAACATAATTAAGGTACACAATTGCGTATATGATTAACTAGCTAGACATTTCCAAATCTATACTATTCTTAATGAGCCAAATCAAGAACTTTCCATGGTTTGCAGTGTTCTTTTGAGTTTTTGGTTTGTACTATTTAGATCTTATTGAGCCAAAATTACACTACAAGACAAATTTTACTATTCTTATAATAGTGTTGTCATACTTTCCCCATTTAATTTTCATGTTGCACGGTTAACTAGAATGATAAGGTGAATGATTTTATTTTATTTTTACATAAAAATATGTTAAAGTTCATTCAAAAGTTATATTATTCAATATATTCTTATATTTTTTACTAATATTTTTTTAATATATTCTTTTTTATTTTTTTCTGTTTTGATTCATAAATTAATTGATATATTAGTAGTTAATAAAAGAATATAATAAAATAAAACATTATAAATGCAAATTTAATTTTTATAGTTATACTTTCATACTTTATTATTTATGTATTATTATATTTTTATACATAACAAAGGTATAAATTTTATAAAATATAAAGATAAATGTTCATATTAATTGTAAAGGTATAAATTTTATAAAAGTACATATATGTTTTACAAACCAATATTAAAAAAACACAAAAATTTTACTAAAAATTTTTATGAAAACATTTTTATAATTTTTTTAAAATTTTATAAAAGATAACCACTTTTTTAATAGTGAAAATAATATAACATCCTATTTAAGCTTGCTCGAATAACACTAGTATTTCAACGAAACAACATTAATTATCATTCCATATAACAAAACATATCCAAATAAGAGCATATATTTGTTAAGTTTTACTTATACTCCTCATGTTTAACTTCTATTATTGATTATTGTTTTTCTTATTATAAACAAGATGGATTTAGGGAGTACTGAAAAAAGGAATAGTGAGATGAATTTTGAATAGACCACTATGAGTAAATGTGAAATAAATTTTGATTCTTGAACATAGAATCGGATCAATTCATTTAAACTCAATTTTGAAAGAGTAATTAATGTTATTATGGTTAATTATATATAAGAGAGAAAAAAAAGAGTGATAAAATTATTAAATTTATTTTCCATAATGTTAATTTTTCTACATTATAGACAGAAAGGTGTGGAATCTTTATAAAGTTTAACACTACATAATATTTGTTTGAAAGGCTTCCAATTATATTTTAGTTATATTGTATAAACCATCTTGTCTAACTGTATTTTAATTAGATTGAAGGTAAATCAAATTACCTAAAAACGAAAATAGTAATTAAATAAATATTATTTTTTAAGAAAGCAATATGAATAAAAAAAATGCATGTGGAATACAAGGTTGTTTCATGACAAAAAAAATGTGGAATAAAAGAACATCTATTTAACAGATAGAAATAAAGAAAAACGGTGTAAATATATTTTAACATAATTAACTACCACATGTTTTAGTTTCACACATTGACCGTTAATATTTTTACCTGATTATATTTTTAACTCTAATTAATATTCTTAATTTTCAATGTATTACTTTTTATAAATTTCATGTTAAACATGTAAATGTCATTTTAAAAATTTTAAATAAAATTGAAAAAGTAAAAAGAAAAAAAAAACTTAAACACATAATTTACTCAATAAAATTTTATTGATTTGAACCTAAATCTTTATTATCTAAATTTGAAGCAAACATAATTTTATGATCTACCATTAATGTAATTTTTTTTACGACACAGATATTTTTTTATATATTTCACAAATAAAGGAAAAAAAAAACCCTCGATTTACAAAACTAATTATTCTACCATTTGTATAATCGTTTAGCTTTTATAAATTGTTGCTACGTTTGTACAAACGTTTCTAGAAACATTTACAGGAAAAAATAAAAACATTTTTTATCTTTAAGATAGGAAAAATACAAACAAAAATGATAAATCTTACAAGTCAATTTGTAAAACGCAAACTGCGTTGGTAAACCCTGGATCATATTTTTTATGTAACAATTCTTTTGGATAATCTTTGAAAGTTTTCCATGGTGTATAAAAATCATAAGGTTGATGTATAAAAAAAACAAAGGTTGGTGTATTAAAAAGAGTTAAGGTTGGATTTCTTAGTATTTAAATCCTTTCAATGTCTACATATATCTCTTCATCTATAAAACAAACTGATCCACAGCCAGCTTGCATTCTGAATAAAAAGAGTGACCTCAACTCAAACATCAGAATCAAAACATCAGAATCAAATATATGAAATTCTAGCTGTAGATAAATGTCCCATAAGCATATACATGTGGCATCAGTGCGGGTACTCTAATTTAAGAACATAAATTTCTGAGACAATTTATGGTACATTGCTATGAGAAACATAAAGCAGCATTAAAGGGGGTAAATAATTAGAACATTATCCGGTAAAGCCATAATGAGAACCTGAGACAAGACAAGACAAATAGTCAAATAATTCCTAAAATACAGGGAAGGCAAACAACATATAATTACATACAGAGATTATAATTTCTACAATATATACTTGACTATGGTAATAACCATAGAGACCCACCCACTAGGATTTCCATAAAACAACAGAAAGAAAGAAGATGAAGTGATGAATCCAGTGTTTACATCTTGGATCGATCTTCCCCTCACTGCTCATATTCGGAAAATATCTGTTTGAAACCTCTCATCATATAAACTCCAATGTCCATACCTTTCAGTGTGGAAGACAGACCTAGGGATATAGAAATTTGGCTTCTTAATTTCTTTCAAGTGCACAAAACTAGAAGAAGCATTTACAATGTCTCGACTAGTTAAGTTAGCACACCCAGACAAATCCAAGAACTCAAGGTTAGGACATCCCTGAGATATGGAATTGAGACCCTTGGCTGATAACTTGGAGAACCTGATCTCAAGATGCTCAAGACCATGCATGGAATTAGCAATTGCAACAGCCTCATCATCTCCATCTTGTGGACAAGCATTTAGATACTCATTAGGAACAATTCCTTGGTGTTGGGAAGGATCAAGCCAATTCATAAAATTTCTTTTGAGAACCTTAAGATCTGGACAGTTTTTTCCAATCAGCATCATTGACTCATGGGTTATCTCATAACAATAGCTGATATCCAATTCTCTAAGCTTCTTACAACTCAAAGCTATCCTAGAAATGGAATCATCAGTAACACGAGGGCAACTTCTGATAGACAACACCTCAATATTCGGGCATCTGAAATGCAGATATATTAAAAATAAATTAAAATAAAATAAAAAATGCTATGTTATATTCACAACAGAAGGAACATGTAAACATACAAATTAAAATATTGGAATTTCAGAATCAAAGCCCCAATTTAAAAGAAAAAACATAGCACACTCTTGAAATCTCATACTAACGAATTATGACGTGTTTGGATTCACGTTAATCGGTTTAAAATCAAAGGAACTTCTTAATATTAATTTCCTTTCACAATGAAAATATTCAAACATACATCACTTTTCATTTTAATTAAAATGAATTTAGTAACCTCAATTTCATTCCAAATCAATTTTGCAAATGATCACCAGACACGCAGTTTGAGACCCAATTGGGACAAACAGAAAACAAAAGGATATGGAAATTTGGGAGAAAGTTGGAACCTTTGGGAGACGAGGGCGAGAGAGCGATCGGAACAGTGGCGAATTCGTATTTGGGTGAGAGAGGATTGGGTCCATTCGACGACAGATAGAAGCATGGAATCGATCTTGGCCTCGAACCCGGGGGTCCACCAGCGAGTTGACTCGAGGGGCGAGTCGAATAGGGGATCGAGATCGAAGACGGAGTGAAGAGACGGTTCCTTGAAGGCGCTGAACCATGACTTGCATACCACCTTGGTGCCGCGCCATCGATCCTCGACGCTGAGTCGAGAAAGGATGTTGATGAGTAACTCGCGAGTCAAGTCGCCCCAATCCGACTCTGATTCCTTTGACACAGCTTCCATTTTCATTCTCCTCCTACAGACTCTTCTTCCTCTGGAATCAGTTTGGATTCAGAATTGAGTCCTCTGTTTTTCACACCCCTGTTTCCATTTCAAACCCTATTTTTAAGTGCATAGGTGGAAGGTAGAGATAAATAATAATAATAATAATAATAATAATAATAATAATAATAATAATAATAATAATAATAATAATAATAATAATAATAATAATAATAATAATAATATTATTATTATTATTACATTAATTTTTTTTCTCAAATATTCGGTCCCTATTTAAAAAAAAAATTATCTGTAATTTTTTTATTTTGTGCTTGTTATATTACTTAATTCCTTTAAAATATGTTTTTGTCTTTGCAAGATGTAGATGTTGTTTTTAGTCTTTATTAAATATTTTTAAAAGAAATTAATACAATATAAAAAAAATATTAAAAGGACTAAAATCAATCAATGAACATTTTAAGAGATTAAAACATAATAAAAAGATAAAAAATAAAAAAATTAACAAAGATAAAACATAAATAAATATATTATAAGAAAAAAACTACAATTATATCTAAGGATTAAAAAAAGACATAAATACATGCAATTGAAGAATTACTCTTTAACAGTTTACAGGTGTTGATCAAAACAATAAAAATTCTAATAATCTTAGTTATTTCATATTAAAAAGATAACTGATATCCAAAATAACATTTATTCAAGATTATTATAAGTCAATTAATTATGTAGTAATTAAAATATTCCTAAACATAAAATAAGATATAATTTAATTTCAAGATAGAAGAATTCTCACATAAAACAACAATGCAAACAAATTTTGTTTTGCAGATTTTAAATATATTTAAAAGCAAAGGTAACTATTTAAACAAATACTTTTGGGACTAATAATGATTTTATTTTATTTTATTTTAATCACTCCTGTAATATTTTGTGTAGATCAATTATTTTTTTAGCTTCAATTATTATATATTTTTTCACCCTATACATTTTATTATTAATTTTATAATATATCTCAATAAATTTAGTAAACATATACTTAACTAATGCCATCTTTTCATTAGGTTGATCAGCACTCTGCATAGTTTAAAAAATATTGAGATATAGTGTCAAAATGTATAAAAAATATATAAATTTTGTAATGACATAAATAAAGAGTGTAAAAGAAAAAAAAACTTTTGTGAAAATAATAATAATAAAGAAATTTAATAAATATGTTAAGGGTGGAAATGAGATTGAATAAGTTATAAAGTAGAAGCTAACATTTAAAACAAATGTATAATATTTTTAAAAAATGTGTTTACTAAATAGTATTTTTGCTAAGGTTAAATAACTGTTTTAACTAATAAAAAAATCAAAGTTAAATTTAACCTAATTTATAATTTTTTTCTCTTACTTCTCTAAAAGATAATTGTAAATTAAAAGAAAAAAAGTAAAATTTTCGTGAAACATCGTAATAATGTCGTAGAATATAGATATTCACTTTCAATTTAAAGTACTTTTTCTCTGTCAGAACACTTAAATCAAATTATTTTATAAATTTGAACAGTTTAAAAGTAACATTATATTAGAAAAAAAACTACAAATATGATGATATGAAATATTAAAATCGTTAATGCATACTAAATATAATACAAGTTAACTAAGAGTTTATTTTTAGTTATTAAGAAATAAACTAGAATGATAGATTGATGTATTAATCATTTAAAAAATTATGAGATAAATTGGTAATTTTAATCTATCACTTTATTTTATTATTGAAAAATAAACTGGAATGTAATATTTAAAATAAAAACGATGTGGTAGATTCATCTATTAATCCTATCAATTGTTTTTAAATAGATAAATTGATAATTTTAATCTGTTAATTTATTTTTATTTATGCTAACAAATTAAGAATAAAATAAAATAAGTTGAGTCATTTAAAAATAATATTTATATGTTAAAATTAAAATAAAAAATTATAATTTATGAATCATACTTCTTAACTAGATTATTAAAATATATTATAATATTATAATTTAAATTATAAATATTAATTAATTAAATTTAAATTATTATTTATAATTAGTTGTTTTAATATATAAATATAATAATTTCTTTAATTTATTTAATAAAAATATTAATTAATAAATAAATAAAAATTATTAATATAATTAAACGTATATAAAAGAAATACATATTGATGGACTAACAGAAATCCATCAACCTCTGAGAAGACGAAACGGATGAGAGAGGAGGTGATCCTAATCCAAAACTTGGAAGGTAGCAACGTGTTGGAATAAGAAGCAAAAACAAGGGCGTAAACTGAACCTTTTCTCACACACAATGCAGCAATCCGTGTAAATTTTTGTATTGTGTCATGAAACGGATTGGAAGCTATGTACAGAATGGATTGATTGTCACAAGAGATGACAACTGAACTCACAGTAAGTGCAGTATCCTTTCTTCTTCACAACTGACTTCAGCAAGGCCCGTATCGTAAGCTTCCGAGGACGACTCAGACAGACACTAAAATCATGTGTACACTCTAGTTTAATGAAGTTTCTTTTCTACGCGTTCTCTTGCGAATTCATCGAAGTTGCAAACACTTATGAATCCTTGAACCAGGAAAAAGACACCTAGTTGGGATTGCTTCTACGAATAATTCAAAATCAATTTGTGAAGATCCCCATATCGACATCTACTTGGTTCAAATGCCAATTGAATGTGAAAGCAAGAGATAGAAGCACAAATGGGACTAAGAGTCTCTCTCAAAATAATCAATTCCTCGAGTCTAAGTATACTCCTTTTGCAACCAATCAAGCTTTATACCTTTCCATCGAGCCATGGGCAGTGTGCTTCAGCTTGAAAGCCTAGTTGTATCCTATTGCCTTCTTCTCAGGTGGGAGAGAAGTGGGTATCCAGGGTCTGGTTCTTTTCCAAAGCAAAGAGTTTCAGCCTTGATAGCTCTATGAAATTTTTCATAGGTGTAGGTTTGGGCGAAGAAGAAATATGCATAAGAGAATCGTCGAGTTAGACAGTGGATACCGGACCTGTGGCTCCAAAACACAAGGGTTCAGTTGGTGAGGTACTTAGTGTTTCAATGAGGATAATGATGTAGGAAGTGTTGAATCCAGAGGATCAAATATGGAAGGGTTGGTATTATTTGTGGTTGACTGATCACATTTCCATTATTCATTGCATATGTGGTAAGTGTGCGAATAGAATATGTTTTAAAGAGGTAATAAGAAGGCAGATCAATGGGAGAATTCAGTGTTTGAGAAATAAAATTAGTATCATAGGTTGAAATATACAAAAACTTAATTTAATAGAAACTTCACAACCCTTTGGAAGAAAATTTTCTTTAATTTGCGATCAAACAAAAGATACCCTTTGTGCCTTGAAAACTAGAAAAATGCATTTTCTACCTAAGGTCCAATTTCTTCCTCTACGTAGAAAAACTTCCATCAACAAAAGGCACCTTGTTCTTTGACCAAGAATAATGGTTCTTATCTACAACATGGGAGCAATGATAAGAACCTTGTAAGGTTGCTCCAAGAAGTGGACCCAGCACCAAGGAAAGAATCCATGGTTTAAGGCATTGGATTGCTTGTACTTGCTTTGGTTTGGGTTATAACAATTTTCTTGATGGATTATTGGATATTTCTTGGTTGGATTTTGATGCAAAGATTTGCGAAAGTTATAGGGAAGATAAGGTTCAAGATCTTGCTTGACTCTGAATAGTTGTAGGTGTTCTTTGTGGGGTTATAATTAGTGAATTCCGTGTAGGACTGAGACATTTTTGGTGAACTTAGATGGTGTTTCAAGGTGGCTTGGGTGGTGTGCCGTTTGAGTATGGACGGTCGAAGCTATGGTGGTCACAACGGATAGTAAAAAGAAACTAGGCAAACAGTAGACGAGATTAAAACAAAGAATAAGAAAAGAACCCTACAGAAAAATACCTTTGATGAGGTTAACTTCATTATGACACAAAAAGAATCTAGGACTTACAAAAAAAATTCCGTCACTCAAACTCCATGAGTTAAGCAATGTGATCCACCACTTGAGACCTAACTCTCAGATAAGAATCTAATTCAAACAAGCTAAAGGCTTTCACAAACAAATGAATTTAATTTCGCAAAGTTTAAGTGTCTACAAAATAAGCCAAGAGGCTCCTTATATAAGAAGCGTGTAGGAAGGGAAAGAGGCCAAACACTCTCCCTCTTAATACATGTATCAAAACACTAAGATGCCTTAACCTATCCTTCCTAATAAACCTTATACCCAGAACAAAAGGTTTATTACATGAAAGTTATTGTTTATTTTCAGTTTCCTAACTTTGTAGAGCTCTTCCTTTGGTTGGTTTCTTTTATTTATCTTTATCCATAACTTGAAGTATTACTTTCTTATCCATTATCACATCAAGCAAAAATCACTAATGCTCAAAGATTTTTGTTTGGATACATGTAGAAAGGACTTCAAGCACCCTGAAATCGAATTTGGATTCACCATGCTTCCTTGATTATGCAGATTTCAATAATAAAACAGCGAAGAAAGAACTCAAGAATCAGAGACGAGCAATCTTTGACAGCAGTAGCAGAGCACCCTAGCAAAGGAACTCTATTACCATGCGGAAATTAAATAAGGTGAAACTTCCAGAGAATAGGAACTTTTTCTGAGAGGAGATCAAAGCACCAATGCGAGAAGAAAAGGTTTACTCTGATTGCTAACTAGATCTAGAAACAGTAACTAACTAATTGAATCAACAGCTGTTCAGAGACCGAACTGTACATAGTATCAGTTATCACTTTGGGAATTCGCAAAGAGATAATAAAACAGTACATTCCTCCTACCCGTATGAATCACTTCCAACAATCCCAAAACACATAGTGCTGACTTAAAAAGTCCAAACCCCTCAAAACTAAATACTCTCCATACTATTACCTGAGACATATATCCATGCAAAATCAAAAGACACAACACACAGGAAGGATCACAGAAGAATCCTGATTCCATAAAAGTTTTGAAGCTTCAAGAGCGAAAACAATAGATTCTACAAACCTAATCAAATTCAATTTTGAACAAGTTCATGAACTTAAATTTGCAGTAGTCAACATCAACAGCAATAACAGGCCTATAAACTTAAACTATCAGTATTGGGCATAGAGAGGACGCCTGTATTCATCAAAGTACTGATCACGATCAACAAAAATAATGGCATAGAGAGCATAAATGATGCCAGGAATATAACCCAGAATTGTGAGGAGCAAGCAGATGAGGAATTCAACCTACAAAAAAGGAAATCACAGTCTCAGATCTCGCTGACAGAGAGAGGGAGTGAGAGAGAAAAGTGACATACTGTGCAACAACCGTGGCGAAAGCAAACTCCGAGTGGAGGAATCAAGATCGCGATCAAAATCTCGCAGCATATTTCACAACGTGTCGGCATCTTCCACTGTGATGAATGATGAATACGTATACGCTTACAGTGTGTGCGTTTCTGAGTGTTGTTCTAAAATCGTATTAAGAATGGGGACGATGGAGTGTAGCAATAAACTCTATACGCAAACAAGCATCGTGGTCCACGTGGAGTTCTCTGTTTACTAAACTAATATAAATCTTGGCCACTTATTATTATTTCATTGAGTTTAGTTTTGATATTTAGATCGTAAACGTTAACGAGTTGTGGTGTGGGAGACTATGACATGTGTTCTCCTACGCAAATAATTTTCTTTCATTACATTAATTATTATTCTTTAAATGAGGGCGGAAATTATTATTTTTTTCTTCATTTTCTTATTTTATCCTTCAACCCATTACCCTTCTCTTGTCATATAAATTCATGTCACGTTGAATACAACATAGGCGATGGTGGACATTGCCTCGGCAGTAACGTCTGGTGATAAAGCTGATTGAGACAGAAAAAAAAAAGGATAAAACGAAAAATAATAATAATAAATCATGAATATCAATTCAGAAAAATACAAAATTGTTTTGCACAGTGATATGCATAACATGGCAACATATTGTATTCTACACTTAATAAAGTACTATGTCATATGAACAAATGATTTTATGCAACAGTAAGAAATAGGGAGAAATGACTTCTTCATTTTTTTCTATTCAGAGTACAAAACATTAAAGAATAAAGGAAAAGAAAAAGTTAAACATTTTACAGGGATTTTAAAATATGTTATAAAAATGTAATATCTTGTCGTAGGTTAAGGATGAGGACGTAATATTTTTTTAATGAAAGTTTAGTCTCTTAAGAATAAAATAAACTTATATTAGGAGATAAGAGTTAGAATTAATTTAATTATTTTATTTTATTACATTAATAATAAGTTTAAAATATGATTTAATAAAATATAAGAATTAATTGATTATTATGTGAAGTCAGAATAAAATAAAGATAAAATAAAATAAAAAATTATAATAATTAATTTAATGGACAATGTGATTAATAAAAATGATTAGAATTCTATTTTTGATTATAAGATTTTTTCACGATAAACAATTAAAAAATTTTGAGAAAAGAAAAAAGACAAATAAATATATTAAAAAAAAATTAAAACAAAGAGATTAAATAATATATTTTCATCAATAAGGTTCATCTTTTTATGAATAAATATCTAAAAATAAATAAATAAAACTATTGGCATTATTCCACCTAACATATATCAATAAATACAACGTTGAAATGATTAAGATATAAAAGATAAATAATATTAATAAATAATAAATAAAAATATATATTTAATAATCATGGAAACAATATAAATTGAAATTTTTTAAAAATAATAATTAAATTTAGAATATATATATATATATATATATAAAATAATTGTCTTAATGTGTCATCAACAACCCAGCCACACATATAAGCTAGGAGACCCTACACTTCACAGTGTGAACTTAGAAGAACAACTACCAATGGAGTTTACGGTTAGGTCATGAACTCGCGGTTTAAAGAACATATTGGTATTGACAGTGGTAGTTCAAACTATGAAGGAAGAGTGGTAGCTCAAATCATATGGGTAGTAGTGCGCCAGTTATGCAAATGTTGTCACGTGAACAAATTTTAACATGTCTTAAAATAAAATGTTTTCAAAATTTGGTTGAATGTGAAATTAAAATGGTTAAGGAGATTATATAATAAGTTTTAATGTTTATCTTTTAAATAATTTTTACCAAGCGAAATTTGTAAAACTTCAACTCTTATTATTGTTTCTTTTAATTTCATTAGACGGATTTATAAATATTAAATAAAATTTAAACTTTTTTAACACTATTTTAAATTTGATTAATGAAATAAAATTTGTTAAATACTTTATTTTTTTAATAAATTTCAATCAAATTAAATTTAAATATTATATTTAAAATAATAATCAATTTCAATTTCAAAACATTCAATTACAACACTACAAAATAAAGTAAATCATTACATTTTTTTTTCATTCAAACTTTTAAAAAAATTATAATGAAAAACCAATCATACTATTAGAAACATATATTAACAAAGATTAGTCTCTTCTTATAAAGAGTTACATACAATAGACTAACAAGAAAAATATGAATTCTATAAAAATTTTTTTTGAATTAGTCTTAATTAAACTATCAGATATGTTTCTCTTACATTTATCTGAAAAGTTAATTGCTTAGCATTATAAAACTTTTATCACCCTATTATTTGTATTTTTTTTTCATGCTAAGACAATTTAAGTAAACTTACGATAAATTGACACTAATATGTGTTTAATCATGTGTCTGCATTACATTTAGTTTAATTTTTAGACTAAAAGAATTATAAATTTATACATCATCATTTTTAGTCAAAAAATAAAATGGTATACTGAAAATCTACATGAATTTTAGAAATATTTTAGGAATATAATTCAGAAACCTAATTATAATATTAAGATATTATATTTATTTAATACTATAGAGGTTAAATAGTATTTTTAGTTTTATTATTTTTTATTTTTATAATTTTATATTATTATTATAAATATATTATTTTTCATCAATTTTATTAAAATGCTAAATTAAAAATATCAGGTGGTGCATTCTTAGTCATACTTGTTATTATATTTATATCATATAATATTGGATTAACGTCGTGTCATAATATCATACAGATTAGTGCATATATCTTGCATTTTTATTGATTGACTTACAAGAAATTAAGTTTAAAATTATATTATTTTACTATTTTAGAAAAAATAAAATCAATAATAATAAAATGAAATTCAAAAAATTTAAAAATTAGAAAAATTATTTAGATTATTACAAATTCTTTAATTTTAATTTTAATCATAAATTTTGAGTGAACAATTAAATATTTGCGAACAAGATTGATTTTCAAACCAAGTTTTACTGTTTTCATGCCGGATGAAGAGAGGAAAACATTTGTGTGAGGGACCAAATTTTTAAAAAAATATTTTAATATATATAATTTTAGTAATAATAAAAAAAAGTTGGAGTGGGTACCGAGTTGATTGGTCACTTGGTTCGGCGACTGCTTATGCCTGAATTCAAAGGACCTAAAAAATTTTGAGCTATCTCACAACGTCTTCTCTCTGCTGCTTTCCACGCGCAGGTTATTGCTACAAAACTTATTCAAGCGGACACAAACACGCGGTCAAAGCGTGCACATGCCATTATATCATGGTCATGCTACGTTAACTTAGCATTCTTATCACTCATTTGTCACATCCATACCAAGCCACAATATTCAACCGGAGTTATGCTTTATACCATTATCACAAAAATGATAAATAAAAAACAATAAAATAATCATATGTAATTCAGATAAACAAATAATATAAAAAAGTATTTTTTTTTATTGAAAAAATAAACTTCTGTTTTCCACACGTTTAGCTTGAACATTGGACTTGCATGCAGCATTGACGGCAAAAGCTATTCCCAATATTTTCAGTATTTTTACAAGTGTCAAAATAAATATGGTGAATGCCAACGGTCTAAAATTAAATCAGATTAAAAAAAATTGATTAAATTAAGTTAAATATATGTGTGGACATGTAGGGGAATGTGAAAAGTTTCACGGGAACAGAATAGGAATATATGAACAATGAGTGAGATTGATGTATCAATCTTTTTTCCCTAACATTATATTCTACAATGTCAACACTATTAAAACAGCGAGAGTAGGAATAAAATAGATAAATAATTTATATGTCAAAACTTTCTTTGTTAGTCTTTCATAGTCCTGGACACTTTCGAATAATTAAAATAATCATTATTTGATTATGAGTTATTCAAATTTATTATAAAAATATCATAGATTTTATTTATTAATTAATTTATTTTCAAACATATATTATATGATAATCTAAATTCTTCACTGGTACAAATTTTGAATTTAAAAATAAATAATGTTGAAATAAAATAAATACAAAGATATTTTGAAAAAAATATCATTTAATAACTTATTTTTATATTATTATTTTTTATTATTTCTACTAATCCATCAAAATATTACTATTTTAAGATTGTCACGTTTACAAGGAGAGATATCAAAATATTTTTTTCAAAAAATAAATGACATAGTAAAAAAAATTTCTATCTACAATAATGAAATTAATAATTTACATTACTATATTATTATCAATATTATCATTAACATTTTTATATTATTATTGTTGTTATTATTTTAATAAACTTATTTTTACATTTTTTATGGATATATTTTTAATATATATTTTTTAATATATATTTTTAGTTATTATTTTTAGTTATTTTACATTTTTTTATCAATAATTATTAAAATATATATGGTTTCATTCACACCATTTAATGAATTTTAATATTTTTTAAAATATATATTTTATTAATAATTAACTTTTATATATGGTTTATCATGTTAAAAATAAAAAAATTTTTAATTTAACTTTAAAAACTACTTATAAAATAAAATTATATCTCAATTTATATATTATAATTTATAATTTTATTATATTTTTAATTTGACGTGAGATTTCAAGAAAAAAATTAAATTTCTAACATATTCATGTTAAATGTATATATTATAAATAGTATAATGCCTCAATGCTTAACTTTCTACCTATTTTTAATAATAATAACTCATATAGCTTATTTCTTAAGCTTAACTTTTTCCATATCTTTAATAATAATAATAACTTATATAAATTATTTCTTAAAATATAAAATATATAATTATTAGGTGTTGAATTATTGGCAAGCCGTACCAAAATTATCAATCGCAGATATAGTATTTCAATTAAATAAAAGTCGATCCCACGAGAAACGATTTCAATGGAAATTTTCAATTATATGCTTACTAAGTAGATTAAAACAGAATGAGTTTTGCATAAAGAGTTGAATTAAAATTAAATGACAAATAACTGTAAATTGTTGATAAAATATCAATTAAAGACACTTAGGATTGACTTCTTTCCTTATCCCTCT